TAGAGGATGCAAACCACTGCTTTTGATCAGTGCAGCACAGCCTGGTACAGGCACTGGGCTCTGGGGGAGGGCTGGCAGCTTCTGAGTGTCTCTCCTTCTCCTTCCTCCAGGCATGAAGAGGTTCTGCCGGGATATCCATATGATGCTGGGCTTCAAACCAGGGCCCTACTTCAGAGCCTGCTGGATGGTCTTATCCCCAGCAACAATGATGGTAACTGCTCAGCTTGAGTTGCTGGAGAGCCACAGTGGTGCCAGTATCCCTGGGAGACCTCCCAGTGTGACAAGTTGCTCTGCTGGCATCTCCTGCCCCAGGGACCATCCCAGGTTCTGCTGGGAGCTGTCCATCGTGTCCAGGCCTTTCTTTTTGACCATGAGGCCTTCTGAGGGCTCTGAGATGACCTCACTTTCTTCCCATCCCACAGGCTCTGCTGGTATATAACATTGTCAAGTACCAGCCCTCCGAGTACGGCAGCTACCGCTTCCCCACCTGGGCAGAGGTCTTGGGCATCCTCATGGGAGTCCTCTCCTGCCTGATGATCCCCTTGGGCATGGTGGTGGCTGTGCTCCGAGAAGAAGGGACACTGTGGGAGGTAGGAGGGGCCTGGCATTGCACCCAGAAGTGTGCAGGGGTGAGCGTGAGCCCCTGACAAGCCTGTGCCTTCTGGAAGTTTCTGTATTCTCTCTCCTGGAGGGGTGTGTCCCCCATCCCTCCTTCCTGCCCACGGGGTGTGAGAGACGGCTGGCACATCCCAAGGCACTCCCAGCAGTGCTGCTCACCATGATGCCAGGCAGGTACTGAGCAGCCCTGTGTGCATTCCCACTCCAAAGCAAGCCTGCTGTGCCCTGTGGGGAAGCACATTGTCCCAAGCGTGGGGCGGGCATGGGCACCTGGGACTTTGCACCTCTTTGGCAGGAGCAACGGCAGAGCAAGGCAGGCAGCTGCCAGACTGTGCAGGCAGCCCAGATGGGATCCCTGCATGGAAAGGCTTCTCCCAGGAGCAGGTTACAGAGCTGCTGGCTGCTTAGAGCTTTCCCAGCCCTTCACTGCTCTCCCCAGGCTGTTGCAAGGAAAGGAGCAGAGCTTGCTGCCCTCCCCAGGCAGCAGTTGCCTGCAGTCTGTAACCTGGCCTGACAGAGCTGTGGGCACTGTGGCATGGCCAGGAGCACCCTTGGCTGAGGCCAGCCCTTTGTCTGCGTGACTAACCCCACAGCACAGGGCTGTAGCCCTACAATAGCCCCTCGCTCCTGCAAGCCCTCACCACCAGCACCCACAGACAACAAAACGCCCACAGCAAGGCAGTTAGGCAGAGCTGCCTTCCCAAAAAGCTTCAGGACAAGCATTTGGCCCCATCTTACCCTCATGGGGAGATCTTCCAGTCCCTGGGGGCTGGCAGAGCACCCAGTGCCCCGGGAGGGGGGGGTGAGCTGCAGGGTGGGGGTGGAGGGAGTGCTGGTGCAAGATGCCCGTGCTCCCTCTGCCTGTTCCCTCACAGCGAGTCCAGCAGGCCAGCCGGCCCACCATGGACTGGGGCCCGTCGCTGGAGGAGAACCGGACCGGCGTGTACGTGGCCAGCCTGGCGGGCAGCCAGTCCCCCAAACCGCTGATGGTCCACATGAGGAAATACGGGGGCATCACCAGCTACGAGAACACGGCCATCGAGGTGGACCGGGAGATGGAGGAGGAGGACGAGGAGGAGTCCATGATGTGAGGGGATCCCCTCACCCCCACTCTGCACAGGGTTGCACTGCAGTACTTCAGGACGGCTTGGGGGGTCTTTTGGGCAGCAGTCGGGAGCTGTCGACCCTGCCAGGCTCCTCACCACCACCCTGGCCCTGCCACGATAGAGCTGCTGCCCATCCTGCTGCCCCTGATGTGTTTCTGTTCAGTGTGACAAACTGTGTGATGAGTCCATCCGTTCATGTGACAGTGTCTGGTTGAAGTGTCAGGGCTGTCCCGCTCCCACCCTCAGCCCCAGCCCTGCCCTCCCCACGTAGGGGTGTCCAGAGCGCAGGAATTTCCAGGCTGCAGCAGGTGGGGAGGTGGAAGAGGTTGAGAAGGTCCTCTGCATTGGTCTGTTCTGTGTTTGTGTGTATTTGACTCCAATAACCCATAAACACACGTGAGAGAGGCTGTTACATCCTCCATGCCCTGAGGACAATGTGTGCCAATGCGCTCTGATCACACAGAGGTATTCCAGCAAATAACCAGCAGTAATCAGTGTCCTCCTAAGAAATTTGACCTAATAAATGAGCAGTTAAAGGTAATTAAAAAAAAAAAAAAAAAGCTTTATAAACAAACCAACTCGGGCCTTTCCAGGCTTGGAGATCCCCAAGGATCTTGGTGGATTAGGGTAGCTCTTCCCTGTGGTGCCTGGCAGGGCTTGGGTGACTTGAAAGAAGGGAAGAGGCTGGGTGACCTGTTCCCCAGGTGTACAAGAGGTCAGGGACAGGTCTCAGCTGGACCCAGTGCCAAAGGAGGAGCCATGTCCACTGCCAAGGGAGATCCAAGGTATGGCCCCAGCCCTGGGTGCTGCTCTTCCCAGGGAAAAGGGAAGGGCTGGGTTTCAGTTCCTGCATATGATTTTGGGGTAGATCAGCCCAGAGCTCAAGTCCCAGAGACCCCATCTCCTGCTGACGGTCTGAGGGTGCCAGTTTGATCCTGGGTGGGGCTGTTTGGACCTGGCACTGCCAGTGCCCACCATCCCAGTGCCGTGTGTGCCTTCCACGTGCCACCGGCTCGCCAGTAAAAGTGGTGTGTGACACAGCTCCTGTGTGGGTTACCTGGGGGGTCCCCAGCATGGAAGAAGGGCACATGTAGAGGGGCTTACAGGGATGGCAGGCACAGCTGCCCTGGGCTTTGTCCTGGTAAAAAACCAAACCTTAGGATAAACACAAAAATTGGGGTTTATGTCTGGATTATGCATGTGGTTCTGGTGCACTGGATCAAACACTGTTGCCCAAGCTTCCAGAGTGAATTCTGGCATAAGGCTGCAGTTTTTCTCCTTCCCTACAGTGGAGGAGATTTAACTATTGCCTTTTCCCCTCCGAGAGCAGAGGGCCAGCTCCTACACCTGCTCCACCTGCCTGCTCACCTCCCCTTGTCCAGGGATGCTGAGCTCATTCCCAGCTGGAATTCTCTGCCCTTCCTTTCTTGTGCAGGACCACCAATGGCTTTCCCCATCCTGCTCCCTGTACCCCACCATGGCTGCAGCTTCCCTGGGTGTGTGGGGCTCCTGCAGCCCAACCGTGCGGGAAGCACCTCCATCCGCTGGCCCCCCGGGTTAATCATTAGAGTCCGGCCATAAAAGTGTGGCTGATGGAAAGTTCAGGCCGTGGCGGCTGGGGAGCGGGGAGGGCCTGCCATAAACATTTATGGCCCCAATGAATCCCTCGCTCTAACCTTGACACTATTTGCTGAGCAGGAGGCCTCAGGAGGTCACGGTGCTGCCCAGCCATCACTGAGGGTGCTGGCTGGGGAACCCAGGCTGGGCTGGCCCCCAGAGGGGCACATACGGGGGTCTACAGGGGTGATGGAGCAGGTGATGGACCCCGGTGTTTCATGATGTCACTGCCAGCCACAACGTGCCAGAGGAATCAGGAGCGCTTGACACCTTCCTATAGCATGCAGTTGAAGCTGCTCTGGGCTGACCAAGCTGGTCGAGTTTCTGCACGTCTCCCAGCTTTCCCTACCTGCATGGTGTCCTGCCACATTCCCCAAACCCCCACTGCGATCCCGGAATCCTTGGGGCTCTCTCTTGGCAGCTGCCACCAACCAGAACTGTGCTGCAGAGCGATGGGAAGGAAGGAGCCAAGGCTGTGCCAGGGAATGTGGCTGGGGAGCAAAGCTGGCAGTGTGGGAGGGCACCAAGGGCAAAAGGCACCAGGGCAGTGACACAGCCAGAGGACACGTGCCCTGGGCCATGCGTGGCTGCCCAGGGCTGGGGGGGACAAGGCAGCAGGATCATTCCAGTGCTGACACCTGCCGGGGCCAGGGCAGATGGCAGGGAGAGGGGGAGCAATGGGGGCACCCCAGGACTGGGGCTGTGGGACAGGGGCTGTGACAGCCCAACCCCAGTCCCCCTGAGGTACCAGCCCACCTGCATGGGCAAAGTCCAGCAGTTGCCCTGGGAGCCACCCAAACCCAGCCTGGACTCAGCTGGGAGTTCTGTGACCCTCATTCTGCAGCACCAGCTCCCCCAGAGCTCCCTCAAACTGCCCAGTGGGCACTTCCACCCCCCATCCAGCTCGAGCAGCTCCTGGGGGCTCCCAGACACCTGCAGCTCCCTGGGAAAAGGGATGATTGCAGTGAGCTGGGTCTGGGAGGATGATACTGAGCTCCTCAAAGCCCCAGGAAGGCTGGAGGCCCAGGGAATCAGCATCCTGCAGGTAGCAGGATACCAGCAGCCCCTGCCCAAGGGCTGGTCCCAGCCTCGATGCTTTCGAGGACAGGAGTGCGGTGACAGAGGGACAAGGGGGTGGCAGACGGTCTGAGTCACTGCAGTGACGGAGAATCATCCGTTTCCATGCTCAGAAGTTGGTAGCTATTTATTGCACTTGAACACCAAGAATAAAACTGACACTCGCCCTCCCTCCCACACCCACCCTACTCCCGGTGCCCCCCACCGCCCTCCCCAAACAGAGCATCGGATTTGAGCAGTGATCATTCTGTTCACAGCCACAGGTTTGAAAAAAAAAGAAAAAAAAAAAAAAACAAAAAAAAACAAAGGAAAAGGAAACAAAACCAATCCCACCCCCCACCCCCAAGCTCCCACTGAATCCAACACGGTCACACTGCTCAACAGTTCGAGTGCACTTACAAAAAGAGAAGAGAAAGGCTTCAGCTGCAACCGTACGGACGGACAGACACGAGGGGACAGGCACCTACCCCTCCCCGGGGCCTGATTTTTTTGTTACGTGACAAAGCTTGGTATAATCTTAATTATAATATATTTTTTGCAGTCATCTTAAATAAATATTTCCATAGAGATTTCCTGTAAGTATATATATATTTTTATATATATAATATATAAGAGAGAGAGATAGATCTCATTTTTTTTTCTTAAACCACTGTTAACTTATTTTCCCTGCTTGTCCAAAAAATGTTACAAAAGCCCTAAAATTGTGCAACAGTTAGAAAAAAGGGACAACAACCCAAAGAAGGAAGGAGCCACTTGATACAGTCCCCTCCACCTCTCCCTCTCCCACTCCCTGTCAATGACCTGCAGGAGGGAAGGACATTCAGTTGGTGGGACGGGTGGCAGAGTGGCCACCAGCCCCTGCTCTGATGTCCCCACAGTCTGCTCACGTCTGGGTTTCCCTGTCTGGTTCGGATGGGCTGGGACCTGCACCTTGGGACACAGGGGATGGCAAGGTCTCTACCTCAGTGCTGCATCAAGAGCGTGGTGCACACCATGAGATGTGCCCTGTGGTGAGGATGAAGGGTCACCCATCTCCTGGGGTGGTCAGAGGAGGTTATGGGATCTCCTGCTGGCAGACAGCTCTTGGTCCATGGGGCTGCATGGCTGCCCTCTCACACATGTAATCCAACCACAGGCTGCAGGGCCCACCCTGAGCTCAAAGTGGGAGCAGATGGCTGCTCTTGCCTGCTCCAGCCTCTGGAGATCTGTGGGGACATCCATTGTGGAAGGTAAAGGGAGGGGAGGCAGGTTTGGGGTCACGCAGCAATTGGGTGCCTGGCAGAAGGGGCACTACATGTGGAGTAGGGGGGAAAGCACTCTCCCAGCTGTGACTATCTGGGGTCAGGAGGGGAGTCCCTGCTCCTCCAGCAAACAGCAGAGGCCCAGGAGTAGCCTCTTCATCTTCCAGAGGGGATGCACTGGCAAGATGTGAGAAATTACGATGTTGCCACTGGACCCTGGCAGCCAGAAAGGCAAAACACGAAACTCCCAAGCCCACCTGTGGAGCTGAGAGCTCGAGACTACCACAGCAAGTGCTTCCAGTCAGATATTCCCTGTGAGAGGTGAAAGAGAGGATGACTTTGTAGGACTTCTGAGTTTGGTTTGACGCAGACAGGCAGGTCACCAGGGGAGTGGGGCTCTGTCTGTGCCAGGAAATTAAATGTGCCACAGCCTGATCTCCAGCCTTGAGGCCAATGGGGACAGGAGGTCTGTGGTGATAAACTCCATCCCAACAAAGTGTCCTTGTCCTTGTTGCTTATTGGGAACTTCCCTGGACCTTGTCCTCCCCAGAACCAGGGTGGGATTGTTGGGGCCAACAGCTCAAAAGTACAGACGTAACAGCAGCATCCTTGGCTCTGCCAGCCAAAGAAGGATGGTGGCAGTCGATGGTTATTTTTATAGTTTTCCTGCAAGTTTAGGAGAAATCAGGAAATGTGAAGGAAGACGGAGACAAGATGTTTTCCATGAATACTGAGAGAAATGGTGGTGATCTGTCAGTGCTTTCTCAGAGATGCTCTGGGGATACAGGAACCTGCTCGGGAGAAGCAGGACAAGGTGGGACAGAGAAGCCAGGCAGGACAGATCCCTAAAGTGCAGGTGCTTAATGCTGCCAGCGTGGGCATGTTGGGAAGTTGAGTCTTCCTTGGTCAGGCTTCAGCTTGACTGGAAGACTAGAATGAGTTGGAACCCCAGACTCTGCTTCCCTTGGAAAAGAGTAGAAAGGTTTTAGGTGTTGCAAGGACATCCAGCTGCCTCCCAGGGAGGTGACTTTAGGGAAACCTCAAGGATGAGAAACCCCCATCAAGAAGGTCCCTCAAAGCCTTCCTGGAAGCCAAGATGTTTCTCCCTAGCAGTGACTGTGGGATCTCAGTGAAAGGAGATTGTATCTACCCCAGCATCCCATCTGTCATTTCCAGCAAATCCTACAGCACCTCCTGTCCCATTCCTTTCTCCAGTAGCAGCTGCTGGAGCAGCTTCACCCTCACAGCTCACCAAGGTCCACACTTATCAGCAGTTTCAAAACCAGGCTGAAATGGCATCTGCCCTCCAGCCCCCATGCAGAGCCCTGACGTGACCTCCTCTATCCTCCTTCTTATACCAATCCCCAAAAAAACTCCTGTCACCTGGAGAACCTGGGCATCAGAAGGTGGATGGTATTCACCACGGCTGACTTCAGAGCCAGCTCTGGAGAGGGAGAGAGAGAACTGTGAAAGAGCTGAGTCCTTCCTTTAAAAATGAAAAAAATTCAGCACTACCTGACTATAGGAAGAAAAACACATCTGTAAAAACACCAAAAGTCTACCTTAAAAGCTAATCCTCTCCCTGCATGGATTTTCCTGCTTTGGGGTCATCTCTTGCAAGCCTAGGGTGAAACAGCATAGGTCCACCAAGGGCAAGGGGACCCACATGGGCACCCGTGGAGCAGCTCTGTGCTTTGCCCCCAAAAAGGCATCTTCTACACACGTCACCAGCAGCCATCGCACTGCCGGCCCAGCGGAACACACCAGAACACTTCTCAGGGCCTGTCCGTGCCCCAGCAGTTTGGATTTCTTCCCCTCCATCCAGTAGGAAAAGGTGGTTGTGTTTTTTTGCAGTCTGCAGGGATGCAGCTGCGTTTGGCACGGTGGCCGTCCCTGCCTCGACAGAGAGCAAAGCGTTCAAAACCACATAAAAGGCAAAAATACACGCTCAGTATTTACATGGAGGAAACATTTCCTCCTTTTTTTTTCTTCTTTTTCTTTTTTTTTTTTTTTTTTTGAATGTCCAAAACAAGCAGTTTTTTGTTGGTTTCTTTGTTTTTCAACACACGCACCGTCTAGAAAGTTAAACGCCATGCAGATGAAGAGAGTGGAGTTAGAAAGTCCCCCAGGGCAGCAGCGCTGCGGGAGCCTCACATCAGTGAGCGAAGAGGCTCCAGTTGGAAAAAGAGAAGGAGAAACGGAAGAACTGCCGGAAAAACACCCACCCTCAGACCTCTACCTGACGGCAAAGAGGTGAGACCAAAACTCCTCTTCCCGGCCACGTCTTCTGTCCTGAAAGCCACGTGCCGGTGGCTCTCCAAAAGCCACTGCCGTGGTTTGCCCTGCAGGAAGACCCGTGGGGTGCAAGAAGGCGCCCTGGGGAGGTGGGTGCCCCTGGAAGTGGGTGCCTTCACTCATCCAGTGCTCCAGGACAGAACAGGATGAGCCACCACGGTGTGGGGAGGGGGCTGGCAGCCGCGGGACCCCTGGTAGGAGCATCGTAGCGGCTCAACCCCTTTCCAAATGTAAACGCAAGAAAAACAGCAACCCCCCCGAAAATCCCCCCTCCCTCCCCACCTTAAACAGTTGAATATTTCTAGTTATTACATAAAGATCCATTTCAGCAAATACTCAAAATCAAGTTACGAAATGCACGGTAGGTTGGTTTCTTTTTCCCTATAAAAAGGCATGCGCTCAAAGGAGAAGACAGATAAAGGCTTGTTTGTTTTCTTTGAAGCACAATCAGATTCTGCAGAGTTTTGTCACTAAAGCTTGCATTCCTTGTCGTCGCTGGAAGGAGTCGCATGGGCGATGGAGGTTTGTGCCCCAAAATCAGCGGCCAGTTCAGCTGCCCCCGTCCCAGCATGGGAGTCAGGAGCAGGGGAGTGCCAGTGCTGCACGTGGGGGACAGGGGTGGGTGCTGGGGTAAAGGATCCAGGCTGAGTGGAGCGTGGGAAGGAGGGTGCAGGGGTGATGGATGCCCAAGCATGGACGTGAGAGCTCCAGCTCCCAGTTGTGCCCATGCGGTACTGGGAAGCAGTTGTCTTTCTCCTCCTCTCTTCTCCCAGCTTCTCCAGTCCCTGCTCCAAAGGGAGAAGGGAGGAAGGAGGGAGAGCATCCCTCTTGGCACAGCAGCTGCCTGGAGCCAGGCTGCAAACCTACTTGCTCTCCTGGGAAGGAGCCAGCCTGCGCTGGGAAGGGAAAATAAACAGATAGTCTTTACTCACCCATCCAAACACGGCCCTCCTTGCCCGGGTGCATGAGGAAAATGGACTTTGCAAATGGTTTAAGTTGTGGTTCCCCATCCAAGGCTGCTGGGAAGTGGGAACTCAGGTCGAGAGCGGGCAGGAGTCATGGCAGCAGACGGGGACCTTGATAGCAGCAAAGCAAAATCCACCAGCACACAGGGAGGATACAGCACAGAGCGGCTCAAAACTGCCCCCCTCTTCCTCAGAGGGCTTCCAGCAGGCTTGGGGATGGAGGTGGATGATGAGTCCGAGCCCAGTTCAGATGTGCTGGGTAGTGAGAGGGCCCACCAATGCTTTGCAGCCAAGGAGAGGGGCCTGTACACCAGCCTGATGTTTGGGTTTAAGTTCATGGTTTCTCTTTTCCTGGTTCATGCAGAGGAAGGGGGCCCAGCGCCACGACCCCGAAAGGGCGGGGGGGTTTCATGGGATGCTTGCGCTGCGCTGGCAGGGCCGTTGAGAGTGTGCGGTGAGAAGCGAGGGGTTATTCCAGCGGGAACCAAGCAGCAGAGCCAACAGGCAAAGTCCTGTAGGTGAACACGTCGGAGGGGGTCTCCCCTTGGTAGCCAGTCAGTGACAAACCCAACACGGGCAGGACCACGCTTCAGCTGCAAAACGCAAACCGGGGAAAGACGGAATTTGCTTTGACCGTCCCTTCGGCAGAGCATCCCTCCCTCAGCCCCATCCCACAGCGCTCAGTCATCTGCTCCCCACTGCAGATCCTCGGGGCAGGACCCCGCCTGCTGTGCAGCCTCAAGGCTGCGTTGAGCCCACATCCAGCCCTCCCCGCCCTCCCTTCCCCATGCCTGGATCCTCACAGGGCTTACTGCGGTAGGACAGAGGGCGCGCCAGATCTGTGGAAGTGGACAATTTGCCATTTGCCATCCCGGCGGTGCCAGATGCGGGTCTCCTCGGACTGGGCAGTGCGGGGGATCCCTCCGGCGTCCACGTACTGCGTGATGCGGATGTAGGCGATGCAGGCGGACTCGTCTCCCATCAGGTGGATGTGGGGGTTCAGGATCGTCGTGTGCACAGGCTTGCTGTTCCGGGACCACACTGGAGAGAGCACAAGCACAAAGGGAGTTAAGCAGGCAAAGGAGTTTGGGTGGCTGCTGCCCAGGGTGGCAGCAATCTGGGGAGGGGAGATTCTTGCAATAAGGTTCTCTGCTTGATTGGGTTGAGTAAATGCTGCATGGGTGGGTTCAGCACCGAGAAAGCAGCTAATGCAATGACTCCTCTGCATGCAGCTGGTCCCAGTTGACCTAATACTTCCTGCTGAGACTTTTCAGATCAGCTAGAGATGCTCCACAGCCACCCTAATCCTATTCTCTCTGGCAAGCTGATGAAAGTCAAGACAGGCCCATGGAAGGTAGGAGGGATCCCTCAGAAAGCAGAGGAGCTACTTACGGTTTTCAAAGTAGAATCGGTGGAAATCCAGGCCTTCCACAAGGTTGCCCAGAGCCTCGGGCTCAAAGGCAGTCATCCCAGGGTCACACATCTTCCTGGGGAGCCAGGAAGGGGAGATAAAAGGGAAAGGTTATCTCAGCATTTCTGGCATGAGAGCCTGAAGAACCCAAATGACTTGTGCTCAGAATGGCTCTCTCAGTGTGAGGCTGAGGGGCATCTGCACTAGCAAGTAATTCCTGCAAAAATCTGACCTCATCTCTGCATTCTGCATGAAGCCCACCCTACCTTGCCTCCAGCCTCTGACCACAGCCAGGACCCAAACAAAGCAGGGTGCATTCTCCATCTGTCACCATCTGTAATTAAACCTCCTCAAACACTGCCTTCTTCTTTGTAAGAAAGGAAAACAGTAGGGATAAAGAACATACTATCTGCTCTGTATCAAAATATCCCTGCTGTGATCCTCTGAGGCAGCCATGAAGACCTGCACTCACTCAGACATTGCTAATTAAATCAGCCTTGGACACAGAAGAGGTGTACTCTGAAAAGCGTCAGCTCAGCGAGCAGAAAGCAGCTATGATTCAGAACTGCCTGTGGTAATCTGGATATAATAGATGCAAAGTTCCTTCTTCCACCATAAATCACGTTTACAATTATTCCTCTTTCTGCAAACCTCATAATGGGCTCATCCATGACAGCGAGACCAGAGAGCTGTGGTCAGCTCAGCACGAGAGCAGCAGCAGGTTTGGAAACTGATGTCCCCTGCTTCTCTTGGATGGTCTCCACGACTCCCCCACCACCTCAACCTGCTAACCCTGCCCTGACAAACAATATAACCTCCTGGGCAGCACTGTCAGGGTAAGAGACCCTGCTCTGGGAGGCGGAGCCCCCACCCAGCCCAAACCCGCGCTGGGCACACTCACGTGTAGGACTCGAAGTCTCCATTGCTTATTGCTTCAATCAGCTGCTCTGTGACCTTAATGATTTCTTGCTTGCGTACTGTTGGTTTAGAGAGAAAAGGAAAATAAAAGGAGAAAACAAACCAGAAGTGCTGGTGTTACCATACTGGTGAGAGATCTTTATCTCATCAGAAAGAGACCACAGCAGGCTGGGGGACTTTGGAAACTGTCCAGAGAGAAAGCAGGAAAGCAACTTGAAAGAGAAATGTGGGGAAGGGCTCTTCATCCCCAGAAAGGAAAAACCTTCAAAGCCAGGGCAAAACTGAAAAACCCTGTAATTTCCTAAAAAGCCAAAGGGTTAATCACCACATGGTGAGCCGCCCTCAGCCCAAAAGTCGGCTAAGGCTGGTTTTGGCTGCAAAGCCTTGCCAAGCTGGGACCTTCTATCCCCATGAACTCACAGCAGAGGCCAGCCAGGGCAAGTTGGACCAAGGATGCTCTCACCTCACTCAGAAATGGGAGGAGAGGGTCTCAGCAGGGAGGAGAGCAGGTGGATGACATGAGCAGCCACCCTGGGAGATACAAGGAGGGCCCTCAAAAGGCATAAAGCTGTGCAGCTGCTGCCAGGGATTCCAGGCACTGACAGCTCATCTGGGAAGGGTTGTGTTGCCAGAGAGGGTTGGGCTCCCCAGGATGCAGGAGGAGCTGTCAGAGGTAACCCTGGGCTTATTAACAAGGCTCTGCTTCAAATGCAAATTGCCATCATGCTTAACTCTTCTTTTTTTGTTGTTGGTTTTCTTTTTTGTATTGTGACTAATGAAAGGAGAGGGAGCACGTTCCTGGGAGTTGTTCAGAAAGGGGCAGAGGGACTCCCATCACTTCCCGAGCACCGCCTGGCTCAGTGTCCAGGCTCGGGGAGCCCCTCCTAGGACGACAAGTGTCCCATTAGCTCTCACATCAGGCCAAAGTCCATCTTGCTTTGAGCTGAGATCACTTCATTGAGAGACTTTACAAATTAGCACCAATAAATTATTGCCTGGGTTATTCTTAGAAAGCTGCCTCTGGCTGGCAGGCAGGCGGGCGGGTGGCAGACAGGGATTTCCCCTGGAGGCTTTTCCCAAAGGGCCATTTATTTTGGAGAGCAGTCAGCCCGGCTGCTACCCCTGCAGATTTCTGCCATTTCTATGCCTGCTTTCAGGGAACATCCCTGTTTATGGGAGCCCCCCTCTCCCTCACCAGCAATGCCCCAGCTGCTCGTGGCAGCAACCCAGCAGTGAAACCACCTGAGGAGTTGAAGCAACTTCTGAAGGGCCCCAAGGCAGCTCGATGGTGGTGGGTTTCACTGTAGCCAATATATCATGAGGGGTGGCCAGACTAGCAACCCATGGGCACCCCTCTGAAACAACCCACCCACCTCCCCGCTTGCCCCCGCTGGTACCTTTGGTGTCTTCGTCCTCGATGGTGGTGTTGGTGCTCTCCGATGATTCCTGAGCAAAGAACAGAAAGGAGAGATGGGGCGGTGAGAAGGGTCTTCTCCCTGTGCCAGACGGAGCTCGTGTGTTCGACAGCCCCCCGAGTCCGACCCCGCAGCGCTCGACTGTGCCACCAGACAGAAACCAAGGAAAACGCCAGCAGGTCCAGCCTGTCCTCAACCACAGCTCTAGGGCAGCGCTGGCAGAGCCCTCCCTGACCTCCACTCCTTGTAGCCAAGGGCACAAGGGGTGGGCTGTGGAGGGTCTCGTAGGAACGGCGCTGCCTTTCCTACCGACACCTGTGGGGACAGAGACGGGGGCAGGTCCGGGGGCCATTTGGTGGGTTCCTAGGAGCGTTGCCGGAGGGGCAGGGAGAGGGGCTGTGCAGGGGTGGAAGACACCATGTTGACTGTACAATAAAGAGAGAGATGTACAAATTAACAGCGAGGAGGAGCTGGGATGAGAAAGAGGGGACTGTGCAGGAGTGAGAGAGACCACACTGACCGCAGAGTAGGGAGAGAAATGTACAATAAAACAGTGCTTCCAAGACCCACATGGACCACTGAAGGCTGAGACACAGCTCTTTCAAGAAACAGCTGAGCACTACACAGATTTGGGGGGGAGAGGGGTACTGACCCCCTGTCTCTCTCCGGGAGCCCCATCAAGGCACCTCTGCTAGTGGAGCTAGAGCAATGGCTCTGCTAGCTCTTCCCAGCAGAGCCTTGCTTATGTATTACCCAGAAGACCCCGATGTAGGTTGGCAAGGTGTCCCATGACCATACAGTCCCCGCAGAGGCATGGAAGGTGTTTCTCCAAGGCTCCTTGGACCGATGCAGCCTGCAGACCTGAGTCAGGAGAACTGGGAGAAACGGCATGAGAACCCATCAGCAAGAACCAGGGCTGGCTTCCCACCAAGCTGGTGGCCAGCAAGTGCCTGCACCAACCCTGTTAATGGGGTTTGTGGGTGATACAGCTTTGAGGATGTTCCCTCCAACCCCGCTGTCCCTTCTTCCCTACCCCGAGGTAACTTCCAAAAACGGGGGGAGCTGGAACATGTGGAGAGGCCCAGCAATATCGGCATTGAGGAAGACGAAGGACACTCACCATTAACTGAACGCTGGAACTGGACTTTCTTTTCTGGAAAAACAAGGAGAAGAGATGGAACAGGAAGAGACACAGAGTGAGAAAGGCTGAGAGCAGCACATGAGAGGCAGCAGCTCCTGAGCCCCCTTCTTGGTCCTCATGGAAGGGCAAATGAAAGGCGCGGGGGGGCAACGTGTTGCTCCTGTGTGGACGTGCCGCTGGCTGCAGTGCTGGTGGTGCCATGCCAGTTCCCTCCCCGTGTTCCTACCAGCACCTTTCTCTCCTGACCCGCCACAATCTCTAGGGTTCCTCATGCCAAGCACCTGGTTAGTCCAAAAGGGAGTCAGTGACCACTCTGGTGGTTTCATGACCAGCCCAGCAATCTCACAGGAACAGGAGTGGGATGCTGAAAAGCTAAGGCAGCTCCACCACAGCCCTGAGCCCAGTGTGAATGCCATACTGACTTCTGCAAACTCTGGATCTGTTCTGGGTGCATCTGCCGATGGCACTGACTAGTGTGGAGACATCCCATTAACTTTGGACCTAGACCAGTACTAAGCTGGCTGTTTTCAGGCCTTGCTGCTCGACCTGCAAGGCATGCATACTGTGTGGGAAGCTGTCCTTAGTAAGTATCCAGTGCTTTAAATCAGGACAAGTCTCCTCCAAAGAGAAGACCTTACACATGCACATTTGCCTTTATCCTTGACTACTACCACTAGGGTTTGAGGTTTTTGGGTTGGATGACCCCATAGCCATGCTTCTGCTTGCAATCCCAAACTACTTCTGGACTCTCATTCCCTGCTGTGCTCTGCTCCCCATCTCCATTTTTAGTTTAGCCAGGAGACAGGGGGATGTGCTTGCTGACCTCATACCCTTTCAGCACCTCCGGCTCCCAGGGAATGAATCCCACTGGGTGTCAGGGAACACTGATGTGCAGAAATCAGAATCTGCAGTGCCAAATAACAATGTGTTGTACCAGCATATTTAACAAGGCACCAGCTGTGCCTGCCCTGTGAGGGAAAAGCAGCACACACTGCACAAATCTCCTGGAAAAGTCCACGGAGCAACCCATGGGCTGCAGGGTAGAAACTGTTGATCTCTCTTCTCCCTTGTCGATCTTTTGACCTACTAACTGGCTCTCACCAGCGTCCTCACTGAGTTTCCCCCTCTGTCAGTGCAGCTCTCCCCTCCCTCCCATAGAATCAGGAAAACACAGAATGGTTTGGGTTGGAAGGGACCTTAAAGATCATCCAGTTCCTAGACCAGGTTGCTCCAAGGCCCATCTAACCTGGCCTTGAACATTTCCAGGGATGGGGCATCCGTGGCTTCTCTGGGCAACCTCACCACCCTCACAATAAATAATTTCTTCCTTATATCCCATCTAAAGCTGCCCTCCTTCAGTTTATAGCCATTCCTCCTTGTTGTATCACTCCATGCCCTTGTTCAAAGTTCCTCTCCAGCTCCCTTTAGGCTCTTGGTCCTACGTCAACACTCGCCTCTCCTTCACTGAAACAACAGATGTCCTAAAGGGCAGAGTGAGCTGTGGTATTTCAGCAGGAACCTCACAGGAAAGGGAGCTGCTGGAGCTGGGCTGTCTTCAGGAAGGGCTGACAGCTTCTGCTACCCAAGGACATGAAAACTGCAGAAGTTTCAGACGCAACAGAATGCAACACAAAGCAGTGACCGCGTCGAGTCTGGACATACAGGAACAGGATGCAACACGGGGCAGTGAGCTCGTTAATTTAGGACGGGACAGGATGTGACACGGGGCGGTGATTCCATTAGTTTACAATGGGACGAGATGTGACACTACACAGGGCAGTGAAGGTATCATAGCTGATGGGACCAGAGGACCTCCCACAGACCCCAGAGCAGAGCTCAAGGGGGATTTTTGGTCCCATGAATGCTTTTACTAGGTGAGGAACCTCCTCAGGAGCGTGAGTTCCAAGCCCTCTGAGCCTGGGCTAGCCCCATGCTGGTGTTGGAGGGCTATATGGACAGGCTGGAGAGCAGCACCAGCTGCCTGCTGCCCACCAGCACAGCCCTGGGCAGGAGAGGCAGGGGTGGCTGCCTGGGACCTGCCTGTTCTCATGGGGATGGCCAGTCCAGCATGTTACTCCAAATGGAGGCACAACTCTTCCGACAGAGAACCCCATCACGTGGCCTGACTTACAGCCCAGCTCTGAGCAGGCAGGACCATCCCCTTCCCACCAGCCCAACCACCCCAGGCAGGCCTCCAGGCTCCTGCCTCACTTTTCCAGGAAGATGGAAAGAAATGAAAACCATTCAGCAAAGTCCTGACATCTGCTGGCTGCCCATGGTGGGCACCTGCTTGACCCACAGCCCCCAGCCTCCCTGTGCCCCCACGAGTGGGTTACACTGCAGGTCCCCTCAGGCTGAGCGTGGGATGAGAGTGGGGATGGTTATGTTGAAGGTGGCCAATGCAAGGAAGCTGTTGGGAATGAGTTTGCCTCTACCTTGTCTTCTCCTCCCCTACCTTCCTGGCCATCTAGCCAGGCTGTCTCACCTCTACTTGTTGGAAAGGGAGCAATAAAAAAGCAAATTCTTCCACCAGAGCTTGTTCACCATCTTGAGAGGAGTGTTGGCTGGTAGACTGCCTCAGAATGAAGCCTCATGATCTGCTTCCTGCTCACCAGTGAGGGCTGAGGATGCAAACCAGCCTCTCTGATCCTGCTCTGAAACCAGAATCTCCTCGCCGAGTTTCACTGATGAGCCAGAAGGCTCTTCACCAAAACTAGCTATTTTGCTACAACAGCAAGTGCCCCTTTTCCCAGGACAAAGCTACTTTGAAATCCAAGAGGGAGCATTATTAGCAAGTTGGGCTGGCAAATGGTCTTCTACCACAACACAGAAATTTAAAGTTGTCCCTTTCTGCTGGAAAATTAGATTTGGGACAATGCCTGATGAAGCCTTTCCATCCATCAATCTCTCCTTTTAAAGCTTAAAAATGCATCTTCTTTGCTCTCACCTGTGCTCCAGCAACCAAGGCAGCTCTACCTGTGCTGCCGCTTCTCAAGTGACTCTCAGAAGCAGCTGGGACATCAGAGCAGAAGAGGACAGGCCAGCAATGGCTGGCAGATGGGTTGTTGTGACTCCCGTGGGATCTGCCAGCACCAAACCCAGCAATCCTGTTCTGGGAGTCTCGTGCTAACCTGACACCATGGCCCAAAGTAATGTCCTCTGAGAGCCATCCAGGCCATCAGCTCCATGCTGCAGAATATCACTGCATGGCTAGGATGGCCTCCTGTGGAGCTGAGCCCAGGTCAGGAGGGTTGTGAGTGGTCTCAGTCCTTGTAGGCTTGTCCTGTCCCAGCTGCTGGATCTGGGTGGACTGGGAGAGAGACATGCCATTCCTAGACCCCTGGCTCCACTGACCATTTGGACTGAGTGGGGAAGAAGCTGGCTGAGGGCTCTGTTCTTCCAAAACCCTGCACCCCTCATGGTCCAACAGTTCAGTCCCTGTGAAAGGGCAGAAAAAGGTTCTCTAGGTTCTCCCAACGAAGGGTCCCTATGGAGGAAGGAGAGCAGCCATACTGCAGTTGGGCTCCCAAAGTTCTGCCTGATGATGGAGGATGTCACCACACCAGCTCTCCTCTGCTGAGTGATCCCTTGTATTCATGAAGGGAACAGGTAAGGAGAGAAAAGCTCTCACATCGACCATTCCTTCCTGCAGGAAGAGTGACAAAGCTCAGTAGCCACTGCTGTTCCCACATCTCCGTGTCACCAGAAGAAGATGCTCAGCAGCAGGATTTTGCTGCCTCCAGGAGCCCCCTTGTCCTGGAGCAGAGCTGTGGCCCCAGCTCAAAGGGACAGACAAATCTGCAGGCTCTGCAGCCCAAGAAACAAGATCCACCAAGCACCAGCTTGTTTTCAGAGCATCACAAAACCATTTGCTCTGTCAAGTATCACCATGTTCCTTTGCTGTCTGCACCGGGCAAAGGGGCCTGGCAGCATTGCTGAAGGGTTTAAAAGCACCCATGTGTCACCCAGCAGCACATCAGCCCTTGGGACAGGATGGGACAGGAACTGGGGCCAGTCCCACCAGCCACAGCGGGACACACGCTGAGCGAGCAGGAAACGAGGCCGCCCCTCTCTCCAGATGGCTGCTGTTGGAGCCCTGGCTCTGGGCTGAAGAACTGCCTCCCCCTGCACCCTGTCCTGGACCAACCTCTGCCTCTCCCCCTCCCTGGGGGTAGCGAGGGGCCAAGCGCATTTTGCAGGCAATGAAACAGCTGTGAGTTCCCCCGGTGCACCCCTCCAGCAACAACTGGCGGTGCTGCAAAGCCTCCTGAGCACTGCCTGCCCTGGCAGGAGCCCAGCCGGTGGCACGGGGACACACCGGGACAGCCGGGCCAACAGACTGCCCTTTAAAGTGCAGGGTGTCTCAGGGGCTGCCGGCATGGCACGGAGACCCCTGGCACGGCACGGAGACCCCCACCGCCAGCAGGGCACGGAGACGCTCCCCACCGGCATGGCACAGAGACCCCCACCGCCGCCCAGCAGCTGAGGGGCGGGCAGGAGAGGGCAGCGGGGAGGGGGCTTACCTTCACGCCGTCATTCTTCTTGTTGCCACCACTTTTGCCTCCTGGAGAGAGGAGGAAGGTGATTAGGAGAGCCAGGCAGGGCACCACGACCAGGAAGGCGAGGAGCAGCAGCATCGTGCCGGGTGGCGAGGCGGCGGGACCTCGCGGGACCGGCCGGTGGGCTTCGTTTCGTCCTCTCTCCAGCAACCCCCGGCGCAACTCGTGGGAGCTCAGGGGCGACCTTGCCGGCACCGTCCCGTCCTGCCCCGGTGGCTCTCGGCCAGGGGCATGACCCGAGCGTCACGCCGAGCGCTCGGGGCGGCTGGAGGGGCCGGCAGCGCTGTCCGGCGGCAGGCGGGCTCTGCCTGGGGGGTGCTGTTGACCCGGCGTGGTGCAGTGTGGAGGAATGGGCTGCCCGCCTGCCGCCCTCTAATTTTAGCCCCATGCTGCCGGGATCATGTGCTGCCGGCCCGCCGGCCCGACAGCTGCAGCCCACATTTTGACAATGATGAAAAGCAGGCGCCTTCCCCGGTGCCCACCCACCGCTGCCGGCACTGCCCCAGCCCCGCCAGGCCGCGCAAGCCACCCCACTCCCGCTGCACCCCCGCAGCAGGGTGGCATCGGTGGAGCTCAGCGCCGTGCGAGACCTCGCTCTCGCTCACCGGCCCCGCTGCGCTCCTGGGCAGGGCGCACTGGTTGAGCCCTCGGGCCGTGCGTGGGACGGGCAGCACGATGAGAGAGACGCTTTTGAATTTCCTGCCCTTTGATGCTTCCTGTCCACCGCCTTCCCCGGCGCGGGGCTGACACCGGATCCCCCCCAGCTGCTGGGCTCCTCCAGCCCCCCTCCACAAGCGCTAAATGTGTCACCACGATCCCCGCACGACAAATGCAGATACCGGCCCTGGCCACAGCCCTCTCACCGAGCTTGGCCTGGCACCCCTGCCCGCCTGCCGCACCTGACACCCAGGGCGCCCCAGCAAAGCACCCTGAAACACCCGTCTAACCCCAGGCAGCTGCCACCAGCAGGCTCAGCGGCTGCAGGGCTTGGCTGGTGTGTCCCAGCACTGCAGCAGCGCTGCAGGGACATTCCCAGCGCTGGAGAGGGCTGGAGGTGACAGCAGGTGGATGAGCTCTGTAGTCACATGGCTCCCTTTGGTTCCGTGCCTGGGAATCGCCTGTGAAATCCCATCTGCGGCGAGGTGTCCCCAGAGGGAACAGCTCTCGGTGGGGGCACTGGGGGCAGAGGGGCTTGTGGCTGTGCTCAGACCTCTCCAGGGCACAGTCTGAGCTGCCGTGCTCAGTCCTGTCTCCCAGGCAGCCCTCGGGATGTAGAGAGGCAGGAAGAGAGTGGGGAACCCCGCAGGATCAGCTTCCACCTGCCTGGGGAGAGACCTGAGGGATCCTGCTGCCATCTGCCTGCAGTGGCACCCAGGGACGTGTCTGACATTCCCAATGCAGAGGATGCTCTCCCTGAGCCACAGACATCTCCAGGAGGACACAAAGCCAGCAGCTTGAGCTCTGGCTGCCCCCAGCACCTGCATCCCCACCCCAGCACAAGCCAGATTGTTGGGCTCGTATAAACCCCTTCACCACTGGGGACCACTGCACTTCAGCCAGACACCTTTCCTCTTGCATCCCATACCAGATGCCAGCTTGGAGGTACCAGGTGACCTTCCCTGGAGGACTACCCAAAACTGCACATCCCCAGGGGCACCAGGCTGCAACCTCAGCCTCCCCTTGACCCTCAAGGCAAAGCCAGGTCTCCATGGAACTCTATGGATTTGTCCTGGGCACCCTGTAAGACAAAGAGATGAGTCCCAGAGACGGCACCTACCGGAGAAGTTCCTGGTGGCCAGCATGGTGGTGAGGATGGCTCCCTGAAAGACAAGGAAGGCAGAAGGAAGAGCGTGCTGGACCCCAGCTCCCTGCACCCTGCTGCTCCCCCCATCCCTGAGGGCGGAAAGCCCTGCTCAGCACCTGTCCCCCAGCCACCTGGCTGGACGGAAACTGGCCCACGGACTGATATTCTCCTCCTGCCATCAAAAGCAGCTCTCAATACCCAACTCCACATCACCAGCACCGAGGCATTGGGTTGCACTCTCTGAAGCTGCCTTCCCTCCAAGATTAAAGGGATATTAAATATCTGTGGGGCACCTTTCAGTCTCATACTACCCTGCCCTAGATGTAGCACAACCCCACTGACTAGGGCCAGCAGCTGGTGGCAAAGGGACCCACCAGGAGCGGAACCGGATTTAATTGGGATTAAAGCTGTGCTAGCTCAGAGCAGCAGGGCAGGGATTGCTCATGGGAGCCACGCAAAGATCACCACTGCAAAACAACATTCATAAAAATCCTTCCCTTTTTCCAGCTGAGTCTCCTAACTAGTTGCTCAGCGTATAATGCGATTACTTTGGACTAATTGCTTACAGTAATGGATTACTATTTGGAAGCGTATGCCTGAACTAATTTGATTGCTTGTCTAGCAGAAAAGTAATAATAGTTTATAGCCAGTTTCTTTGCTTGATAATCTTGTTAGTAGCCTGCAGCTGTACTGTTCTGTGCCATGCTGCATTCAGGCCTGGAGCACTGATGGCTCTGGCTACAACACAGGCCAGAGCTGTCCTGCTCTGTGCCTCGGGCTCCAGAGGAGGCATTGTGATTTCCAGAGCCCATTCACAGTGCCAAACTGCTGGCTGAGGCTGAGCAGCACCTGGGAGATGGGTGCTTCAGGCAGGTGCTCCAGCTGGAGATGGTGATTACAGAGGGGGTCCAGGATGTGGCACGTGACAGTATCTGAGAAGGGAAAGCCTGTGGGGCTGCTGGTGTGAGTGAGCTTTTTGCTTTTCTATGGATCACTTTATTCTTGGCCAGCAGGCAGAGGGTCTCGCTGTGCCTCTCAGACCCGTGTCCTGCCCTAAAGAGGAGCTTTCTTGACACAGAATCCAGAGGGAAAATGCTTACCCCAGCATCCAGTGTGACTCTGCTTTCCTTCACCATGGCTTTCTCTGAGCACTTGGGAACCCCAGACAGAAGAGGCCACCACTGCACTCTGTCTCTTTTGCCTTTTTCACAACGGGGCCCCCAAGTGCCCATCACCCCCATACCACTGCCCAGGGACACCACCCTGTCCCTTCCCACACAGAGAACAAGCCCCCCTGTGACCCGATCATGCATTTTGAAGCCAGTTTGGACAGTGTGAGAGTTACCTTCAGCTTCCTCCGGGCATTGAACTTCTTCAGACAGTCCACTGTCTCCTGTCTGTGCATGCATGACGCCACAGTGGCGCGGTGCTGGGGGGAGAGAGACCTGGCTCAGAGCAGAGCCGGGGGGAAAAGGCTCCCCCAGCCCTGCTCTCACATGCACACACATGTGTGCGATCTGCCGTGGCCTAGGCATGGGCCAGGGCTGCCTGCAGCAGCAGCAGCAGATAAAAGTTTAATGGGCAGTGGGAGATTGAAGCTGTGGAGTCAGCAGGATCTGCTCTGGTGGTGGGGTTGCAGGAAGAACTGGCTGCCCACAGAGTTAACCCCTTGACTGGCCAGCCACGTTCAGCAATGTGCTCAGGGTTTACACATGTGGGGTCCCGGGGCTGAGCCCACAGACTCCTCCTGCCTTTAGGCGCTGATTCAGAGAGAGACCCAGCAGCCAGAGCAGTGGGATGAAGTGAAGGGTGGGGGGATTGCTGCTGGGGTGGATGAATGGATGGATGGATGGACAAATACAAGGCTGCTCCCATCACCTCTGAAGAAAAGCCCTCCAGTACAGTGTGAGGTGTTCCCCCCTTGTGAGCCCCCACATCTCTACACCTTCAGCCCTAACCAGAGGGTCAAACTCACCGATATCCAGGGGTGCTTCAGAGCCTCTGCTGCCGTGATGCGCTTAGACGGGTTTATGGTCAACATCTTGTTGATGAGATCTTTTGCTTCTGGAGTCACTGTGTCCCACTCAGGGGAGGGGAACTGCCAAAGCAAAGGGACCAGGATGAGGGATGGCAGGAAGGAACAGAAGGAGCAGAAGCCCCTTTACATTTGGGTTGGTTCTCCTGCTGCTTGGGGCAGGCTGGAGAGATGGTAGCACAACAGGAAAGAGCGGCCAGGTGGAAAACTGGAGAGCAGAAGTGGAAGAAGAAAGTTGGAAGGCCCAGGAGAAGACCTATCTGTCCTGCAAAGTGGCCCTGAAACATGCTAATGTGTGCACCCTCTGTGACCAGGACAGAGGAAAGAGCCTGGCTCCCGTCTGTCTGAATTTGACCAGGTTTCTCTTCTAGAGCAGCAGGTTGTAAGGCAGGGACAGCAGGAGAGAGGGTAGACTGTCAAAAGGGGGGACAAGACAAACCCACTCACATCATAAGCCCCAGCCTTGATCTGCTGGTACAGTCGGTGCTGGTCTTCATCCCAAAAGGGTGGGTACCCGACCAGCAGGATGTAGAGGATGACGCCTGCCAGGAGAGGAGATGGAATCAGTGGGAGAGAATTCATTGCTGGAGGTAGGAGCAGACCCTGCCTGGGGATTGGCCAAACTCAATCAGAGAAACAGGAATTAGGGAAACATGAGGATTTGCTCATTGATTAAAAAGCAAAAGGCTCGTTGGTGGATCCATCTCTGTGCTGACGGTCTCTGGCAGCCACATGCAGACCCTCCAGTGGGTGACCCGGCAGGCCTGGGCGATGCCTCCTTCCCACTGCGGGTGGAAAAAGGCTCCCCTGCAGCTGCAACTGCATGGAATCATTGCCTGACTCCACCAGCACCTCAGGGAAGAGCGTCAGCATCTCTCCTGACTGGGAGCTTTGGGTACATAGGAAGGGGGCTGATCCTTCAGAGAAGGGTGCTGCTGGACCAGGAGAGAGGGTGCTGCTCTGGGAACAGCCCAGGGTAATGTGCCACCTCTTGGGTAAATCCTCCACCCTGACCTCCCTGAGATGTGCGTGACAACTACAGCTGGGGACATGCTGGATGAGCAGCCTGCCTCATCCCGCCCAGCCCAGCCCAACCCAGCCTGCTCCCGGCATTCCAGCCCCTGTCTGACTTACCACAAGCCCACAGGTCCACGGCTTTGCCATAGGGGTCCTTCCGGAGCACCTCAGGGGAGAGATATCCCGGGGTGCCAGCGAAACCTGCGAGGGACAGCCCATCACACCCTGCAGGCAGCAGCCCCCGTCCCCACACAGCTCGCCAGCAGTGACTGGTGCCCAGCCAGGAACAGCAAGAGCCAAGAGTCCTGGCACATCCTGACCCGGTGGGACAGGCCAGACACCTCTGTGAGTCCTGACGGCAGAGCAAACTGTGGCTTTCTGCCACAGCCAAATTCCAGGATGGTGCATAAGGCTGGAGTGCTCTGATGAGCACCTCCAGCACTTGCAAGAGGCTTCCCTCTCCCTGGTCTGCCCCTGTTGCTGGTTTGTCCATCTCACCAGGACATCTTGGTGACTCACGGAGTCCCTGAGGAGTTGTTTGCCTCTGCCCTGGATCAATACTGGGCTGTTTCCAGGGACACAGCTGGAGCCATCAACCTCCTCACCCACTGTGCCTCTTGTGGTGCTGAGACTGCTCCCATAACCCAGGGCTCAGGTCCTGGGGATGTGTGTCTGACCTGGAGCCCCCCTGATCAAACACGCCAAGGAAAGTTGGAGAATGCCCCACCTCGGGCCAGTCCCACTCACCAAACCACGCTTGCTGGTCCCCCTCCACCTCGATGGCAAGGCCAAAGTCAGCCAGCTTGACGGCAGCACCCTTCAGCTTGGATGCCAGCAGCAGGTTCTCGGGCTGCAGGAGGAGATGGGGGTTGGAGAGGAGTGAAAGACCTGCCAGGGGCTCCCCTATGGATGGGGGAACCTTCCCAGCACAGCAGGGAGGAGAGTCAGGGCTCTGGATGTGCTTCCCAACTGCATTGTCCTGCTCCTGTGTCCTGGTGTCCCTGGTATCCTTAGAGAACCATGGACTTCAAGGGCCTCCCTACCCCCCCTCCTTTGTGTTGTTTCACCCCGGAGTTGTTCTTTGCTCTGTGGCTTTCCCAAAGCCCTACACGTGTTCCTCCCTGCTGTTTCAGCAGCCCTGGAGTACTCTGGGCATTGCTCCACAGGGTTTTGCATCACAGATGGGGTCCCCCGTCCTCCCACAGGCACTCCCCCTGTAACTCCTACCTTCAGATCCCGGTGAACCACCCCCATCTGGTGGCAGTGCAGGACAGCCTCCAGGATCTGCTGGATGCAGTGGCTGTGGGAGAGAGGAGAAAGCTCACACAAGTGGCCAGTGAGGCAGAGTTTTGTCAGACACTTCTATTCCACAGCATTTCACCCCTCTGCCCCCTTCCCCATCACACTCTCCACCAGCAGCCCCTCAGCACAGATCAGTGTCTCCCTCCACCAAAACCCACACACGTGTGGGAAGCAGTTCTAACCCACTAAGGCCCCACCAGAGCTGCTGCACACCCACTGATGGTGAGCAGGAGCATGAGGGCTACACCTGAGCCTCTGGGATCCCCACTGGAGCAACACTGGAGCACTGGGGGGGAGCTGGAGACCATCAGTGGAGCCACAATGCCAGCCCAGATGTGGTCTCCAAACACAGGCAGAGCAGATGTGCTCTGTGTAACCTTTGCTCCAGCCCCATTTCCCTGCTCTGCTCTGATGCAGGCGGCTCTTGCTGTGTCTGCTTACTTTATATCTAGTTCATTACATCCCAGCTCTGCTGCGTGTGCGAGACAGGAAGGGAAACAGACAGAGGCGATGATCGCTTTTACTCCAAAACAGCTTGTGTGCAAGGCAGAAGGTCCTTATTTACATGTAGTTTATTTTATTTGTATGACACTAATAAGTGGATGGGCTGTAAGTGGATTCAGTGCAGGCAGCCCATTAAATGAGACTGCTCTCTGCTTAGAAATAAAGGATATTCTCATGCAGAGAGGTACTGTAGAGCTTACCACCCTTTTGGACACATAATACAGGCTATGCTTAGCCTGGGGGCAAAGCCAAGAGGTACAGTGATATCTGGAGATTAGAGAGGGACAAAAAAAAATGAGGATGATGCTGTCTGCTGGCTGAGCTGCAGGGGCCAAAGGGTGGCTGAAATTGGGCCCAGCCCCCTGGCTCTGCAGCAGGGTACCTGGAAAGTGCCAGAGGGAGCTGTGGGAGAGAGCAGAGCTTGAGCACATCCTCCCACCCAGCCTGTCTTGCCTACTCCTCCTCAGTGCTTTCAAGTGCTAAATGCCAGAGAAATGCTTGCAGATGGCTGGAATGCAGCTCCAAGGGGAAGGGGTGAGGACTGTGGGGTGTCCATGTTATCATGGCCCTGGCTGGGCACCAGTCTGATGTTGGGCTTCCTCCCTGCATTCCTGGAGAGCCCCAATGCCCCCAGCCCAGGGAGCCCTGACATCCCCAGACCAGGGAAACCCGATATGCTCAGTCCAGGGAGCCCCAACAGCCTGCTCCTTTACAGGGAGGTCAGATGTGGGCTAACCCATCATTCCAGGCAAGGAGGATGCTGCCAGCGATGGCTGGGAGCCATCTGATTTGGGGAGGAAACCAGCCCCAAGGTAGCACATGCACTTCTTGGCACAGGAGTTGAGTGAGTTAAAAAGAGCATTTTTGGAAGTCTTTTTTGCACCACAGTTCTGGTTTATGAGTATGTGTTGCAGGAGTGGCTGTAAAACACCTCCCAACACAGAAGGAGCTCATGCTGCAGAAAGCCAGACGTGTAGGACCCTGGGAGGGAGCAGCTCTGGGGAGAAGGGGATATAATCTGTCCCCTCCACAGCCCCACGTGTGTCTGTGCTCACCTGGCATCCGCTTCGCTGTAGTACTCCCTGGCCACAATGTCCTCAAACAGCTCCCCACCAGTGACCCTGCGAGGAAAGAGGGGGAGCTGGATTGACTGACAGCACATTTGGCCCTGGCAATCCCCCCACAAAAAATGTTCCTTGCATGGCAGGAGAGTCAGGGGTGCAGGACAGGGACCTGCCCTCTGCCCAGCTTGAGGGGGAACCCAAGCTTGGTTCCAGCCCCGTGGGAAGGGCTCAGGTGAGGTGGAGGGAGTGTCACCCCAGGAGGAAGCACAGAGCTGGCAGTGGGTCAGGGGATGCATTGAACCATTACTCACAGGTCAAATATCAGGTAGTGGTGGCCCTCTTCAGAGATGCTGTCATGGAGCCTCACTGCAGCAGAGACAGAGGGTTAGGGGGTACACCTGGCTCCCACCCTGCTCCCCAGGAATGCTTTTTCTCCCCTTTGGGCACAGGTAGGAGCTGGGGAAGGGCACAGGCAGGGCTGTTCCTCCTCCCTCCTCTTCTTGCTATTGCCACTGGCTGGTGGGGGTCCCTGCTCACCAGGGGACCCCAGCCATGGCCCCAGCCTGGGGCAGTGGTGAGAGGCTCAAAGGTCACATCCAAATTGGGGACTGCCCGGGGCTGTGTCTGGCTGAGGTTCCGGGCAGCTGCTGGGCTATCTTGGGCACTGGGCAGGCTGCAGGCACGGGTGTCCCCAGCCCCAACAGGATTAGTGCCTGGGCACAGGGAGAGCTCAGCAGGGTGCTGGACTGACAGCCCTGGCACCCACAGGGCTCTTTTTATTTTCTGCTCATGACCTTCCTTTTCTCCTCGGGAATCTCCGTGGGATGAGTTTCCCATCTCCTGGAATCTCACCCTGCTCATCACACTGAGGGCACCCTCTCCCCTCGTGCACACCTCGCCAGACACAGCCAGGTACAAATCTGTCACCCTGCAGCTGTGTTCTGGTTATTCAGGCTCAGATCACAGCTTAGCAGGCAGGTGTGCAGGAAAACAGAAACAGGTAGGATGGATAAATAGAGCCTGGTCCGGTATCCTCTGTCCCCCACCTCATATTTTGTTTGATTCCCTTGAGGCTGTAAATACTTAACCCTTCCTCTCTCTCACCTGGTTTCAGCCCTATACAACTTTCAACATCTTTGAGAATGTTAGGAATCAAGGAGGATAAAAAAACCAAAACACATTAAAGTGAGTGAGTTTGTGGGAATTTTTACTTCTAGACCCTTTTACTACAGCTAAATTAGCTGAGCCCTATATGGAAACATCCTCCAGACTCAATCTGAGCCAGGGGAGATAACAAGCCCCATCGCTGAGCACAGATAATGCACTGTATTGCTCTTATCTCCCAGGCCAGCAAACACCACTTTTCTGGTCCTTCTCCTGTCTCCAAGCTCCACAGGCAGATCCAGCAGCTGCCAAGACCATGCTGCCAGCAGTGGCACCCCACCCAGCCAGGGCACAGGGCAGAGGAGGTCTCATGAGCTGGGCACCATCCTTCCTCTCTGTCTCTCTTGTGATCCCAATTACTGACACAACTTGCTCATCTTATTTCCCAGTTATCCTTCTCCACTGCTGGCCTCTGCAGACATCCCCTGTGCCCCAACATCTGTCTGCTCCGTTTTTCTCTGACAAAATCCCAGCTTTTCTGCCTTTCTCTGCTGAAAGAGACGTAATTCCTCCCGTTTCATCTCGCCTGGGAGTGATTTGGGGGTATCACAGCTGGGATCCCACAGAAGCCAAAGCGTTCTCAGGGGATCCCCCTGTGAGTAGTGAGTTTGATGTGGATGGGTCCAGTGTAATCACAAACAGATGGTCCAGATACGTTCCTTGCTTAGGGAAGTCCCAAAGCCTCTGACTGCCAGGAGCCAAGGAGGTGTAAGAGGGAGCAGCTGCTCTAAATATAACCTGATCCTACAAGTGTCTGTTACTGACCATAGTCAGAGAGAGCTGCACTGGCCAAACCACTCCAGCTCAGTGCTGAGAGCCAAGGCAGGAGCAGGGCACAGCTTTGGGACTGAGAGTCAGTGGACAACAGGTACCTGGAATTGAAACTGCAGGGCTGCGTGCAGCCAAAGTTTTCCCAGTAAAGCAACAATTCCCTGAATGGAAAAAAAAAAAAGAATCTTTGGGAAATCACAGCTCTCCTAATACATCAGCCAGTACTGTGGATGCACTGCAGGATCCTGGGGACCTGGACCTGCCCCTAACTGCCTGTGCACGGCTTTCCATGTGAGGTATTCCAGCAGGCACAGTGCAGAGCACAGACTGGTTCCTCCAGGAAACTGCAGCGTGGCTTTCTGGTGGGAAATGGAGGGACCCCACGCGTTCTCATGGGAGATGGAAAGACCCCACCTCGCTGCACGGAATGAGGGAGAGGACAGTGAAGCCCCCAGCAGCTGGGGCGCTTCTCCCAGTGAGGGTTGGAGAGGGTTGTTCTGTCTCATCCCAGCAGCAGTGCCTCCTCTTCCTCATGCCAGGCTGCTCTGCAGCGGCACAGCTCGTTCCAGCTCCTGGGTGTGTAATGAGCCGCCTTTGCTGCACGGAAGAGGAGCTGCGAGCCCAAGTTTCCAGGCAGCAGGAGCAGTGGAGGGGCGTGAAGGGAAAGAGGGTGTGGGGTGGGGGGGTGGAGAAGAGTCTCCTGGGTATAAATAGCAGCAGATTGGGCTTGTTAGCATCTCATGCTGTTAACCCCTTCCAGCCCTTGCAGCAGGGATGCTCTGAGCCTACCAGGTCGTGGCCAAACAGCGAGGGGTGGTGCAGGGGTGGGGGGACAAGGCACAGGAAGGGGGCAGATGTTTCTGTCCTCAGAAACCTTGCCAGCTCCACTGGCAGGTGATGGAGAGGGAAGGGAGGAAGACAGCCACAGGGAAAAGCTGTGGCCAGGCCGAGAAGCTGCACAGCCCAGCTACCATCCTGCAGGTCTCATGGGTGGAGGTCCTCTGCTTTTAGTATTTCTTGCTATTCATGCATTTGCCGTGTGTTCCCTGCACGTCTCGGCAATCCCTGCGTTTATTTTGGTGCAAAGGGGATGCTGGGCTCCCCAGCAGGGCAGCTCCTGGTCCTGCCTGAGCAGAGGCTGGGGAGCCCTGGGGGGTCCAGCACCCCGGCAATGCAGGGGAGACTTGCCGTGCAGCTGTGTGCCGAGACAGATGGAAGCTGACAGTCCTTTCTCAAACTGAAATATTTATGGGACAGGAGCCACATGATTGGTCCCAGAGGCCCTGGATCTAGCTCCCTGGATCTGCTGCAGCAGCTCCTGAGGAAGGACGGATCCAGGTCACCGGAGCAGTGAGGGGGCCAGGGAGAAGCTCAGCCACAGGGGAACCCTCCCAGCTCCTGACTGTGAGTTGAGAGGGCTGCAGAAACCGCCAAAAGCTTTCCCCAAAGCTGCAGGATCTCACTGGGGTCAGCACGTCCTGAGGTGCAGCAGCAGAGGTAAGAGGGAGGTTCATCCGGACTATCCGCAGGGATCAAGAGCCCGCATCGGCATCGCTCTCAGGGATGGAGTTTGGGATTTTTTTTTTTTTTTTTTTTTTTACTGCAGCTTTTTCCCCTCCCCTCTCTCTCTCCTTCTGGCCTATTTTTGTCTTTTGCAGGGGCTCAGGAGTTTTCCTGAAACAGCTTTTCCGAAGGAGGCTACTCTCAGATGGACGGTCGGTGGGAAAGTCTTCGCTTCCCCCCTCCATCGCTCCTCCCACACGCCCCGCGCTGCTGCTGCTGCTCCGAGCTGCAGCCGCTTTTTGGAGCATGCAGAGCAATACGGCACCCGAACGGGGGGAGAGCAGTAAAAATAGCCCTTTGCAGCCTCCTGAGGCTCCGCTTCTCCCTGAGGGAGCTATGGCCAAGTGGGTTAGGCAGGACCTACTTCAATCCCCCCGTGCCTGGTGGGGGCCTTTCTGCCCATGGCCCCGTTTGAAGACGGTGCTTCCCGCGAGGAAGAGGAGGGACAGCCGTGCGGATCTCGGCTACCACCGAGCCCTTCTCCTCTGGGATGGAGGCCGGAGCACGAGGGAAGGACAAACAGTCCATGCTGCTGCAGGCAGGGCTGGATTATTGATGGGGACCCCCTAGCCCCGGGTGTGCTTACCAATGTTGGGATGCTTCAGGAGGCGGCAGATCCGGGCTTCTCGTTCCAGCTTCTGGTGATCTGAAAGAGGCAGCGGCCCTAAATTAGGATCTGAGGAAGGCACTCAACTGCTCTCAGCTTCTGCTGGGCTCTCAGAGGAGCTGCCAGTATAGGAAATCTGGGGGGCAAAGCAGCTGGCAAAGAGAAAACCCATTTTCTTTTTTTTTTTTTTTGCTTAAGGAGAGCAGATCTGGGCACATGTTTAGCATCAGGGCCTGATGGGCACTATCCCAGCACAGATGCAGCCCCCAACAAAGCCCCTAGGCACTGATGCCATGGGCATAGGCTGGGCTTGGGATGATCCCTTGCCCTGCTCTCTCCCTCCTCTTAGCTGAACAGTCAGGGACATTTCTGTTGCTGCATGGTACAATCTGAGCAACCCAATGACCAGTGAGAGGTGTCGGGCTGAAACAGGGCTATGGGCTTCGCTCCCTGTCACCATCACCAGCCATTCCACGTCAGCAGTGCAAAACCCTGGCTCTGCAAATGTGCTTTGCTCTGGTGCCTGTCTGCAAACAGGCAGCACAGGTCCCATTTCTCAGCTTTTGGCTTGGGAATGTAAGACAAGGGAGCTCTGGGCGAAGCAAGTTGAGCTGAGCCAAAAAATCCTCCACCCTGGGGCAGCTCAGAATGAATCTGTAAATAGTTTTTGTTTCTTCCTCTCCACTTCTGCTCACACCTGACCCAGCCATCCTGCACCCTGCACGGAGGTGCCTGTCTGGAGGCATTTTGTGCTAGCAGGAACTCAGCAGCCAGGACAAGGGAGGATATAATTAGGGCTGCTTGTCTCTCAGTGCTATCGCTGCTCCCTTGCAGGTTCACACCCCGGAGTCTCGCTCTGCATCAAACCAAACCTGTGTGTCTCCGACCGCTGAGATGTGAAGGTGATACAGCCCCTTCTCTGTGGGGCTGGAGCCTTCCCCAGGGCTCAGTATCCACATCCAGTGGGAGAGTGAACCCCAGGCTTGGAGTGAATTTTGCAGCCTGTGCTGGGGTCTGTGAGCTGAAGGCTGGGACAGCCTCCGTAGCCTCGTTCAGCTTCCCACAGAGTTTTCCCCGATGGGGCACAACCTTCCCAGGGTGGGATGGGGTGACAGGGAGAGGTTGGGGTTTACTTTTGTTTTTCACAACTAAAGTCCATTGTGGGATGGATGACAGGGATGGGCTGGAGGGACAGTGAGGCAAGCAATTCTCTGGGGAAGTGACCCATGGCCGCAGTTCCTCTCCTATCCCACAAATCCAGCTCCTGCCTGCACCCAAACCCCATTTCTCCTCCAAGACTTCAACTCTCTCTCCTGCTGGCCCCTCTGTGTCAGCAGCCAGGAGGATGTCTGAAGAAACAGGCCGTGGCTGGAAATGTTTTGCAGCTTCTTTCACTTTTCCCCACTCCTCTCCTCTCAGCCTTCCCCCCCTTTGTGTATGGCACAGTCAGTGGCACATCCCTATGGGACAGTGGCTCCATGTCCCTTTGGGGCTTGTCCCAGTCTGTGGAAGTGCCAGCACTGCAGAAATGGGGGTTCCAAATCATTAGCAAAAGCAGCTGGTGATTTCAGCTGGCAGGGCAGGGAAAATAACTCCAGCCAAGTCTCGCCAGGGGGCAGATGGGCACAGAGCCACTGCAGGGACAGCACAAACCCCAGGAGAGGGTGGAGAGGGGCAAACTGCCTGAGGAGGGGAATGGAGGCAGGAGAGAGGGGGGTGGCTCAATCTGCTGCTTCAGGCAGCCCTGAAATCTGGGAGGCATTTTCTGCCCACCCTGCTGCCAGCTGGGGTACATGGGCAGGAGCCAAGAGCTGAGCCCAGCACTGCACACTATGCCCGGAGCCCAGCCCTCAGCTTCAGAGGAAGAGAAATGGTCCACGTCCCAGAAGAGGGGCAGGGGGCAGTGCTGGAGGAGCTGGGGAGGCTCAGTGTGGGCGCTGTGCCACTTCAGCAGCACGGTGGGAGGGAGATTGCAACACGCTGGTTTAATTCCAGGTCAGAAAGGAGCTTGTCACCATTTTCTGCATTTCAATTTTGCCTTCGGAGGTCAGCAGTGGCAGCAGGGACAGTCACCGAGGGAGGTTAATTAAACTCTCCTGGCAGGGTGCTTGCTCCCGGCACCCATCCTGCACTCCCGACAGCCAGGGAGGAGCTGGAGTGGGGACACAGCATCTGCTGCCCCATGCTCTCCATCCTCCTCATCACAGCTCCTCTGCCACATTCCCGGGGCAGAGGGGACCGTGCCCTGGGGCAAGGGCTGGCTGATGCTTTGCTGGCTCGGCTCAGCCTCACTTCAAGGAGCATGCAAGATAGACCCACCAGGACAGACCCACGGGCACCTCTTCCAGCAGCAAACAGCCAACCTGCTCCCCCAGAGTGATTAACCAGATGGCAGCGAGGGGTGAGGGTCCATCTACGGTTAGAAATGAAGTCAAACCCCCACTTGAAAGGACATTCTGATTTTGTTGATGTAGGTGTATGAGTAAGAAAACCTGAGCCACCGAGAGTGGTCATTGAGGGCCCTCTCAGAAGATGATGATCCCAAAATAACTGTCCTACCCAGTGCCCGGAGCTGGCAGCGGTCTGGCTTGCTGCAAGGCTGTAACCAGCATTTTGCTGCAGAGCGGTGGCAGATCTCAGGAACAGAAATGGTGTCCTATGGGACAAATTCCCTGCTCTGTAAACCCTGGTTGCCTCTCACCTCCCCAGGAACACCCCCAGCACCTACCTCGAGCAGAGAGCTTCTTGGTGTTGATGATCTTGGCTGCATACTCTTGTCCTGCCAACACCTTCACGCATCTCCGGACAATGGAGAAAGCGCCCCTGGGAAGAGAAGAAGCCACAGGGAGAGGTGAGGGGTGTGGTGTGGGCAAGGGCACAGCTCAGCCCTGACGTAGCTGTGGGGCGAGAGGCAGCCACAGGCTCGGGGATGAGAATGGGGATGAGAATGGGGATGTGGGTGCTGGCTGGTGAAGGGACTTGGAGAAAACATGGAGGGATCTCAGTCAGCTTTCCTTGCACCACTCTCCTCAGGGAATGGTGGGTGCACGCACATGCAGACCTAGGGGTGAATGTGGGATTCTTCCCTCCGTGCTGCTCTGGGACACTCCAGGCATTGTGCACCTTTACTCCTCTTCCTCCAGCTCTGCCCTACCTGTCTGCAGGAGAGAAGGGGCAAGGATTTACGGGGGGCACTGGCTCCTGAGGGACACTGTGATGGCTGCGGCTGCCACAAAGCTCTCAGCCACTTCAGCCTGTGCGGCTCAGCCTGCTCTAGACCTTGCAATCACAGCAGCTCTTGGCAGCTGGGAGCACTGCCAGGTCCCCCCAGCTGCAAAACTGCCACCCAGGCAGGGATAGCCCAGGGGATCCTGCGAGCAAGGACCCCTGGAGCCAAACTGGACAGGGACGGATGCTGCTGTGCTTGCACACGCGTGAGCCAACGTGCAAGGCTCTCCTGGGGCCTGGCAGGCAAACGAGCACGGGTGCTTAGGACACTCCAAAGACTCCCCTGTGCCCCCATTCCCCGTACCCCGAGCCCTGCCAGCTCGTGGCAGCGCCAGTGCCAGTGTGATGCTGGGAGCTGCAGCACTGCACACACACACACATACACAAGCGCTCCAGCCATGCTGAGCACAACCTTTGTGCCAGGTTCCCTTTCCTGCCAAACCTTTCCAATCGCTAAAATATCCACTATCAAAAGCAATCCCACCTCCCTCCCCACCTTCCCGCCACTCCCCGCCACCCTGCTCCAGCTCCCTGCCGAGGAATAAAAGGCCAAGGGCTGGCGAGCAGCAGCAGATAATTGATTTTACTGGTGGGGGCGGGTGGAGACGGGCAATTTGTGTTTGAATGTGATCTTTAGGAGAGCAGGCGAGCAGCGGGTGCGGAGGGATGGGGATGGGGCCCCAGCAGAGCTGGCAGCCCACGCGCCCAGCGCCGCCGCGCAGAGCATCGCTCACGGCACGTGCCGGGCAGGAGCCGAGGGAACAGCATCCCGGTGCTTCCCAGCTTCCCCGTCCTGACGTTTAGTCCTGGCTGCTGAAAGAGCTGAGCTGTTAATATCTCTAAATTCTGTCAGGAGGGACAGATTAATTGGAAAGGGGGGGGGGGGCAAAATGCTTCATATCCAACTTGCCCTGGATCAGAGATCAGAGCCATCAGCAGTCCTGCAGTGCTGCTCTCCCCATCCCGCTGGGAACACCACAGTGTATGGGGTTTGTGGGTTCCTGTAGATCCCTAGGACTCACATTCTCTATTTTTTTTCTTAAAGACATGTGTGATGCTTTTGCAGTGGCAGGATAGTCTGCAGCAGGGATGCCCCCCTTCCCCAGCTGGGGGTTCCTGCCCCAGTCACACGGTTTCACTGCAGAACCCAACATGAGGTTGGAGCGACAGAGATGTCCCAGATCTGCTGGAGGCTGGGGAACCCCTGCCACTCCTGGTCCCAGTGCCCACAGCCACTTGCTCATCTATTTATTCGAACTGAGTGGCGAGAAAGGGGAGCCATGGGAAGTGGGATAAAGCAGCTGTGATGGGAGAGCACAGGGTTTCACGTGCCCAACTGCATCCCTGGCTTTTGCCTTCTCCAGACCTTTCTAACAGAAACCAAATGTCTATTTGTAAAGCACAATCAAGACCCTGTGAGCCTAGAAGGAGGGTGGAACATGGAGCACTGGAAGCAGGTATAGAACACCCCAGGGTACAGGACACTTGTCATAGCCCCATCCTGGTTCCAGTCAGGTCCTTCAGTGTGTCTGCACTGGCCAGGAACCCACCATGTTGGGTGTTTTAGCCCCATCCAGGCTCTACTCCCTATGCCAGGCTGCTCTCTTGCTTCTCAGCCCCATGTGGGATCTTTCCAGCCTCGGGGAAAAAAATCCCCCTTGGTTCCATCTAAATCCAGCATCTCCTTCCCAGCAAAGGCAGGCATCCTCTTCTGCACCAGGAGCTCGTGAGGCTATGCAGGCAGCACTGGGGTGCCAGGCAGGGAGCTCAGTCCCATCTTGGTTCAAGAAACCCCTCTGGAAGGAAGGAATCGTGCCCTGCTCCCTGGCTGTGGACAGCAGCACATGTCCCTTCCTTCCTGGGGTGGCAGGTCTTTGGATGGGGATCACCACAACCCTGGTGGGAGCTGGGCCCCCATCTCTGCCTGGCTTGGATGGGACAGCATGTCCCGGTTTGAGCACGGGATGGGGACATCACCTGCAGGGCCGTGGGTACAGAGCATGTCCTTGTCCTGCCATCGGCTGCCAGCACAGGGCAATGCTGGACCCACGGCCAAACAGCCAGCCCTGTCCCTGCAGCCCTGAGCCCTGGCACTGCTGAGTCCCAGCCCTACAGCCTCTGCCCCTCAGTCCCCAGTCCAGGCATGACCCCATGCCTTGTCCCCACGGCCTCCCCCCCAGCCCAGGCAGTGGCTCTGCCACCGGGATGCTCCGCTTCCCCCTTTTTCACACCTTCCCTGCCAGCGCCCGGCTCTGCTGCTGCCGCCCTCCCTCTCTTCAACACCTCCTCCTCCTCCGAGGCATTTTATCTCCTTTCTAGAGAGAAGAGTGTGGGCTGGGGATTTTTTGTTCCTCCTTTTTTTTTTCTTTTTTTTTTTTCCCCTTTTTAATAAGCCCCCTCTCCTGCAGCTCCAGGAGCGGAGGGGTTGATCGTAAGGCTCAGCACGGCAATTGTCTCCAGCCTCTCCCTGAACCTGCTGCGGGGGCGGATTTGGAGGCGCCGGTGGAGCTGTACTTCATGTTTGTCCTACTCTGGGGGGCCGTGGGCAGGATCTTCTCCCTGTCCCTCGCCGCTGTCCACCGCCCTCTGCAAGCGTGGGGGATCGGAGCAGCCCTTCGCTTGCTCTGCTTTGCGGGGGCTGCTGCAGGAGCAGGTTTTCCCCAGCTCCGTGTCCCCCGCTTGGAACAGATGCCTTCCCATGCTTGGGAGGTGCAGGGATGTGCCAAGGGCTTGTGCTCCACGGAGCAGGCTCTGCAGACTCCTCTCCCCACCTCTGCCTGCCCCCAAAGCCCCGTCGTGGTGCTACCATTAGGTGTGTGGCATCTCAACCCCCACCTGCCTGGGTGTCAGGGTGGGTGACAGCCGAGGAGATGGCAAAGGAACAGGGTGGGTGCAGCAACCTGGCACCCACCACCCCCCCTCCTGCCAGCCAGGCTGGGGACACACCGTGTCCCCCCCAACAGCCCACCCCAGTTCCTTGGGGACAGCAAACTCAAGATGGACCCTTTCTGCTCTGAATCCTTGCAGGATGCTGCTCCCTATCGGGGTCTGGTGGGAGGAGAACCATTCTGCCCACCCCTGCCAGGACACCCCCACCCCAAAAGGCACCGGGAACGTCTCTCCGGAGGAGGAACCACACTTCTCACGGCGAGCGGCTGCCGCAGCAGAGCAGAGGTGCGGCACTTCGTCCTGATTTCCCTCTCCAAGCCCATGAAGCGGAAATTTCCCCACGGGAAACCGCTGATTTTTGAATGTGCCAGGATGTGCTGGAAACTATCCCAGTGGAAAATCCCCAACCAGCCCCACAGCACCTTGGCTAGCCTGGTGGAGCCCTTAACTCGGGAACACACCTCAGCGCTGCGGTGGTACCTGCCCCCTTTGGTGGATGGAAAAGCCGTGGGATGCTCCGAGCTGGGAATGCTGCCCCTGAATCACCCCGGGGGTGGGATGGCCAGATGTGATGCTTGCCGGGGCTGGTGAGCTGCTGCACCAGCTTTGCTCCTCTGTGAATGCATTAAAATGTATCTGTCCAGATGGTTTTACATCTCAGTGCCGGGCAATGCAGGCAAACCCTGAGCCTGGGTGCTCAGCCCTTGATGTTGGCACCCACCCAGCAAAGTGTCACATCCCAGACACCTTCAGGAGCCCTCCCGGTCCTCCTGGATTGCTCCCGGCCTGCGAACTCCCCTTCACATCCCTGCAGCCACCTCTGCCCAGCCAGGGCCCCACAGCCTCACTGCAGGCACCCAGCAGCCACTGCCTCCCCTGCCCAGCCTGTACCACTACCAAAGAACCTCAGAGCCCTGAAAAGCCAAGAAAACTCTGGAAAAAGCAGGTCTCACATCCCACCTTGCAGCATCTCCCTGACGGGCACCCATCCCCCTGTCCACAGTGCCAGCTGGGGCTGTCTCCACCACAGGGACCCTCTACCCAACCCACTCCTCCCCACCACCCCCTCACAGCCACCCTGATGCCACAGGAATGGATGTGAGTATCCTGGGATGGAGGGGTCCACTCCCCTCCACAGAGCTGCACTTTGCAGCAGCACCCTGGTGCCGTGGTTTGGCTGGGGAACGTGAACAGCGATCAGCCCAGCACAAAGTGCTCCCTGTCTCAGCCTCTCCATTTCTCCATCTCTGCCCTCTCCTTTCTCCTTCGCCCCCATTTTCGGTGCCCACGTGTGTGTGTGGGCACACGTTTAGGCACAGGCTGCCCTGCACGCAGGGCTGCGGGGTTGGAGCGTGTCCCTGTGCCTACGGATGGACACGGTTTCCCATCTGGAGCACGGGCACCAGCTGCCCAGCACAGGCACCCTGAGCCCGCCACCACGCTGCCAGACGCTCCGAGGGGACGGTGGCCACACGCCCCAGATTCACACACCAGCACCAAAAAAAAAAAAAAAAGGCACAGAAACCAAAACAGAGGCACACGCCTGCTCACTCCTGCGCCCGTTTTACAGCCACACGCTGGGCGAGACGCGGAGCATCCCTCTGCGAGGAGATCCTGACATCCCCTGCTCCACCCTGGGGGGCTCGGAGCTCCCCGGGATTGCCTCGCCGTGCACAGGCATTTCTGTTTGCACTCACACACACACACACACAGAGATCCAGGCACTCGCGGTCACACCCGGACCTGAGAGCTGAGCCCTCCCCGGCAGGAGGGTCAGGCAGGGCTGTGGCTCACCCGCAGTGGGACAGGGGCAGGGGTAGGGGACATCCTGGGTCTGTCCAAGCTCTGCCAGTATTCTCTGGGGGCTGCCAGGTGGGCTGTGTCTCCAGCAGCACTAGTAACCCTGGTAAATCCATACAGAGAAATTCCCTAAAGAAATGTAAGGGGCGCCCACTGCTTTGGTTTTCCTCCTCGGTTGTCCCATCCCTCCTCCTGGCTGGGGAACTTCCCGAGGGAACCAGCAGCACCCTTTTCTGGGAGAAGCTTTTCCATAAAAGAGACAGTCGCCCCCTCCCCAGGCAGCTCCAGACTTCTGGGTTCCCCGAGCCCCCAGCCAAACACCCATCAGCAGCCCCTGAACTCAGGGAGGGACAGAGAGGCAGATCTGGGGCTGGCAGCCCCAATCCTCACCTGAGTCCCCCCACCGATCCCCACTGCATCCCTCCGTGCCCATCTCGTTTCCTCCATCTCCAGCAGTTCCCAGCACTGCTGAGGATCTTTCCCAGCCAGGGAACAGCCCCGCTCCAAGCATCCCATTCCCGTCTCCAACTTACTTGCCCAGTTCCTCAAAGAGCTGGTACTCCTCCGTGAAGCGATTGCAGGTGATGGTGGCCATCCCGAGGGGCTGGCAACGCTCCCTCCCCAGTGCAGAGTTTGGGGCAAGCAGTTCTCCTCTCGCTCCCTCCCTCTCCGTGTGCTCCCGGGGCTCTCTCCTCGCCGAGGTAAATAAGGGAATATGTTTGATTGACAAGCCCAGAGATAATGATGAGGGCAATTTGTCTTCTCAGCTTCACAAGCCTTCGTCAGCATCCCCGTCCCCATGGTGACCACCGCTGCCAGAAACGCCCTGTTTCTGTTGCCGGGGCAACTGCTTCCCAAACCCGCCGCCCTCCATGGGGACCGTGGCCCTGCTGGGGACCCAGCCCGGGGGCTGCCCGGGGGTCACCCACCTGCTGCAGAGAGGGGGGGGAATGTCTAAAATACAACTATTAAAGGCAAATTAGGGGATGTGGCAGTGGTAAAATAATTGGGGCAAAAAGGGTTTCCATGGAAACCGTGGTTTCCATGTTGCAGGAGGATGCTGTCACCCTGGCAACATCTTACCCCCACCCCCCCTCCCCCCCAGAAAAAATACAGGCCCTGCTGGTGCCCACAGCAGCGTTCCTGGAGGTCCTGGGGATCTGTGGGATGGGAACATGCTGCAGCAGGAGGGAGCAGATGGAGCAGAAGTGTGTCAGGAGAAGCTGGAGAAACCATGGCAGGTCCCCAGGTCCCCACACCATCCTGCCTTCAGCCAGGGTCCCCTGGGGGGCTGGCTCTGATCACACTGCAGGGCAGGACTGGCTGCTCCCTGCTCCCTGCTTTTGCCCACCAGGTCTCCCTATGGGCTCTGGGCTTCCTGGGGAGCAGGTCCTGAGGGTCCCCCACATAGTAGGGCGAGTGTCTTGGCCTGAGGCACAACTAGAGGGGAGCAAAAATTCTGTATCCTGGGGCGCTGTGTCCCTGTGGTGCCCAAGCTGGGGCAGGATGGAGGGGATTTTCGAGTGGGAATAGGAGGAAGGTCTGGCCTCCTCCTTCTCCGACTTTTTGCTGCCGAGTGGCCTGTCTGCCATGCCGAACATAAGGAAGCACGAAAAGCGTAACAAAAGTAGAGTCGGGAGGTCCAAACCTCAGGGAAGGGGTTTCCTGGAGCCCCCACCAGCACCCACTGAGGATCCTGCATCCCCTCCTCCATCTACACCACCCCTTGCACTTTCCACCTTCTGACCCCGCCCAGAAGAGTTTTCTGCTAAGCTTTTGTCCCATTTCTGGATGATTTTGCAGCAGGAGGGCCCCCAAAGCGCCGGGAGAAGGGGCTCTCTATGCCAGCTGGGAGGGCATTGCCTTTGGCAGCTGAGATGGATTGAATTCCTTTTCAGGCTGCCATGGAAGGGTTAAAAGGAAAAGAAAAGGTTCTAACCAGACAAAAATAGGGAGAAATCTTTGAGAGGGGAGAGAGAAGGAGGAGCGGAGAGGGAGAGAAGAAAGGAGGTGGAAGTGGAGGAGGACAGCAAGTGGCGGAGTGAGGAAGAGGAGGGGGAGGAGGAGAAAGGTCTAATGGCTTTTCCATTAATTGCACCATTACCCACCTTCATCCCCACCTTGCATCCCCGCATCCAGCCTCCCGCTCCCGTCTGGTCCAGCCAGAGGAGATCCTGCATCCCTGGTGGCAGGGCAGGGACCTGATTCCCAGGCGTGGACAGGCACAGGGATGGGGCCACAGTCCCCAGGGGCCTTCAGACCCACCTTGGCCATGCCCTGGCAAGGGCAGAACACACCAGGCACCATCAGCTGGGGTGAGGGGGATGCATTTGTGCCCTCTGTGCCCTGGGGATATGATGGTCCCCAAAACACCTCCCAGCCCCCTGTACAACTCCTTCCCATCTCACTCCCACTCAAAAGGGGGGTTCATTCACCACCCCCAGGGCTGTGTCGGGAGGTGGGGGCTGCCATGGGGGCCGGTGTGTCCGGGTGCTTGTGGGAGTGCTCTCCTCCTCCAGCAGCAGCTTCCAGCAGCCCCTCGGAGCTGAAGGGCAAGAGGAAGAGTCCCCCCACTCCAGAGACCCCATGGATGCCCGTGGGCAGCTCTGTGTCCCCTCCCCCCACTCCTGCCTGTGCTGCTGTTCATGTCCCCGTGGGCTCTGCAATGTGACCTGCCCCCCCTCCCGCGCCCACCCCCACGCTGGCACACGTGTTCAACCCCACACGCGTGACTCTGCGTGCTCCTGTAGCCAGGAGGAGGGATCTGTCCCTTCCTTCCCCCCAGGGCCCCCACTGCACCCCTGATCCCCGTGGCACAAACCCCTCACCCAGGCAGGGGGTGATGGCAAAGCCTTCCCTGTGGGGTTCCTGCCTCCCTCCCCAGGATTCTCCTGCCTGGCAGAGACACAGCTCTCCAGGAAAGTTTTCTCCCTCCCTCCTCTCTATTCAGTTTTTTTTTTTGTTTTCCTCGACATTTTTCCCTCTGAGGGTAAGGGGCTGTCAGACATCTGGGTGCTGAACATGCTCTGCTTTGCTGATGATGTTTGCCCAAGCAGGAACTGCTGCATGGTTCTGCTCCTGGGTGCCTGGAGGCAATCCAAGGGGAGCAGGAGCTCTGAGTGGGACCTTCCCCTTCTGGGCTGGGGGCTCCCCTGTATAGGGGAGTAGTCCCAGCCCTCTTCAAGAGTCCTCAGGATACACTTAAGATGTCTCTGTTCCCGGCCATCCCAAGGTTTGCTCCTGCAGGGCTTTGGGAGCCAAGCTGCTCTCCTGCTGCCGTGCTCGGGTCTGGCCACCTGATGGAGACCTTCATCCCCAGTGATCCTCTCCGTCACTGGGCTGCACCTCCAAAAATGCGTCCTGCTCTCCCCACCTTGCTCCAGCTCTACCTGCAGAGATTTAGTTTCTGCATCCCAGCCTGGGGCTGCCCCAGGATGGGCACCTGATGCCCCTGAGGTCTGATGCCAAACCCCAAATGCACTGGAATGGCAGCTCAGGGAGGACCGATGTGTCCGGAGGGGTGGGCTGCAGCAGGTCCCCTCTGCTCCCAGGGGATGGGGCTTGCAGCAGAACCAGCAGGGCTACGAATTACATATTGCAGACATCCCAAAATTACTGGGACAGTTCCACATGCAAGCTGGGGTCTGGGGGATGCTCAGTTGCTGTCCTCTGGGAAGCTGAATTTGGGGTTATTTTTAGATAAGATTATAAATACCGTGGTAAGAACTGATTTACATTTAGGGTTGTGTTTGCAAACGTGCCCTGTCCCTGCGGGCCCCAGCACTTGCTGGAAGCTGCTTTTGGCTGAGACCGGGTGTTCTCAGTGCCACCCTCTCCTTGGCAGCAGGGTCCATAGGCAAAGACCCTCCTGTGGACATGGCTGTGATACTTGGGGACACTCAGCAGGTGCCATGTGGCTCCCTGGGGCCTTTGTGTGCTGCTTCTGGGTGGGGAAAAAACCTCCAAAACCCACATGTCCTTGGATCCCTGGAAGGAGAAAGGACAAGAGTGCCCTTGGTCCAGAACACCCTCTCCCCAGCATGAGGTGCTCAGAGTGCTCTGCCACCTCCTACTGTGGCAGTTTGCTGAGATATCCATCCCCTGTCCTGCTCCTGGGCTTACTGCCTTCCCTCCCTATCCCCACTCCTATCTCTATCCCATCCCAGCCACATCCTCATCCCCATCCTATTGCCCTCCCCAACCCCGCCCCATCCCATCCCCATCCTCCTCTTATCCTCCTCCCCATCTCCAGCCCATCCCAACTCCATCCATTCCCAGCCCATCCCCATCCCACTCCCTCCAGCCAGCAGGGTGGAGGCAACCAGTCCATCCCATCGTCGGAGCCCCAGATGCATCCCCCTGCCCCATCCCTCCACGGGCCCCCATCCTACACCCAGCTCCTGCGGGGGTTTGGAGCAGCCAGGGGCTTGCCCAGCACTTTGAATGGAGGCTGGGAAGGAGGGGAGTCTCAGCCTGTCTGTGCAAACACATCTCCCGGGTGCAGGGAGTGCTCCAGCACTAAGCATATCTCTCCAGCTGCGTTAACCCCTCAGCAGCCAGAGCGCACACACACTCCCAGGGGACTTCAACTGAGTGAAAACACGGGATTGGGGCACATTGCTGCACTGTTCCCCAGAGAGACCATTAAAGAGCGTTGCTGGGATGAGGAGCCCACGTGGCAGCAGCCGCATGTCCATTCCCAGCCCAGTGTTCAGATACAGCACGGCTCGAATCAGCGGTGAAGGACAACTGCGGTCCTCAGGCTGGAGGCTTCACGCCCTGCAAACACCCAGAGATGCTCCTGCCTACTCCTCCTCTTTGTGTTCAGGGACTAAGATTTTCTTTCAACTGTTTCTTCTTAAAAAGATTCAAAACCCAACTTTTTTTAATTAAAATACAGATGACGGCAGATCCACTGCTATGTCCAGGCTGACTGCGAGCCCGGCACCAGCCCAGCACATCCGAAACTGGAAAGGAAGCGAGACCAGACGAACCTTCTCATGGGGATATTAGTAAAAGTGAAGGGAGAAAAATCAAACGTGTTTTCATGGAAATTTCCATTTTTGAAAGGAAAAAAAAAAATAAAAGAAGGACTAAACTTGGATGCATTTATATAAATATGGAAATGAAAGCCGTTTCCCAAGCCTTGTCGCCACCCCACGTCCAGCCCTGCTCTCCTGCTCCCTTCAGCACCAACCCCCCTTTGCTGTGATTTATTCCTGATCCCTGCAGCATCACCCCCTGCCCTCCTCTGGCTCCAGCTCTGCCTGCAGGAGCCTCCTCTTCTTCAGCAAATTGTTGCTTTATTTTCAGCAACCGGTTGGCTTTGCCAAATGGCAGCCGGTGCTGCAGCCCCGCTGCCGATGGATACGCTGGTAGTGCACATCCCGAGGGACCAGGCTGGCCACTTGAGGTAGTTTGAGGAGGTGGAGCATCCTCCCAGGGCTCACCTCTGCCCAGGTGATGCCATGGGGACCAGCCCCCTTGGAGCAACATGCTAAGGAAGCAGGGATGGAGATGGGGCTGATGGAGGAGCTGAGTCCCCCTCTGAAACCTGGCCTTGGGATGTGCCTGTAGGAACGTGAGGGAGCCGACAGGACGGCACAGTGATGGATGTGCGTGGAGCAGCAGGAACTGCCACACACACCGCCACACTTTGGCTTTTCAAACTCCTTCCCAGCTTTACAAGGAGAGGCCTCCTCTCTTCTGCCTTGCTGTCAGCTGGGGGTTTTTTTCTTTGTTTCTATAGAAAATCCCAATTCCCCCAAATAATCCAGCTAAGAGTAAGAAAAAAAAAAAATACAAACGTGTCATTGCATTCTCTTCCCATCCTCATCCCTCTCTCACACACAGGGCTTGAAAGCACACTGAAAGGTATTCAGCGTTCGCGCTGCCAATTGTCACATCCTTCAATGACAGATTTTAAATGAATGTTATTTTGCAAGGGAGAGAGAGAGAGGGGGGAAAAGGAAAAAAAAAAAAAAAAAAAGAAAAGCCCACACTGCTCATCCAAGAGCTGACAAGTCCTAACGGGCCTCATTTTCCAGAGACAAAAATAACTATTTTCAAAATTCACAGCAGGGCCTTCGCCTACACACGCTGCACCAAGAGAAACCTGTGGGGAGAAATGTAAAACACATTGTGTAAATGGAAATGCACCATGCATCCAGAACGCTTTTAAAGCTATTTGCCCCCTTTCATCCTCGCCAGCTCTCCTGTGAGCGCACGTATGCACGCTCGCACCCCGCCGAAGGGTCTGGAGCTGCCTGGCCCCCGGCAGCCGGATGGGTTCCCCACGGCAGCGGATGATGGGAAGGTGTTTTCCTCCCCACGCGTGCGCTGCTGGAAGAGCAGTGCCCATCTGCGGCGAGGGGACGTGGCGCGGTGCTGGCAGGCGGGAGACATCCCCATCGCCCCCGTCCTCCACCGCGGCTTAGGGGTCCTGCAGCTACACAGCAGCTACAGCAGCCTCTGCAGAGACCTCCTTAATACCTTCCTTCTGCCCCAGGTTCAGGATGTGGGGACAGGGACAGCCCCAGCGCTGGGAAGGGGCAGCTAGGATGGTTTGCTGGGTGGATGAGCAGGAGGTGTGGAGAGGAAGACGGGTGCTGTGCACATGGGGGGTCTGGACGAATTACGGGTGAAAGGGTCTTCTGGGTGACCCATGTGGAGCTCACCGGAGCCTCAGGCAAACCTGCCTCCCAAATGTGGGGCTACAGAGAGCTCTGAGTGTATCTGACTATGTTTCCATGGGCCACAGCTCCTCACCAGGGCTGCTCCTGGCCCTGCAAGCCAGTGGAGAGGGGAAGCCATAGCCCCAGGTGAGGTCCCTGTAGCAGCATGACTGAGTCCAGCCACGTCAGTCTCAGGTCTGATATCCATGGTCAGGAATCCATCCTTCCACAAAGTGTAATAATGAAATGCTGTGGTCTTGGGTTTGGGGGAGGCCTTCAAGTTCCCAGAGCAAGAGCAAAGTCAGCAGCTGCCTGGCAGAAGGCTGAAAGCCAAGGAGCATGTAAATACAGGGAAATGGCAAGGATCGACCTGGAGGCAGGGCTTCCCATGCTTCCTCCTGCTCTTGCAATGGCCAACACTTAAAGCTTATGACTGGCTGTGGAATCCTTGAGGAAAGGGTCTCTCTTTTTGGAAGGGGGTGTGCACGGGCCAGCCCAGCTCAGCACAGTCAGACACCACCACCAAGCACCACAGCAGAGACCACATCACCCTTCCCCACCCACCAGGACCACCTCCCTGCAGCCACCACTCCAGCCAGAGAGGAGAAGTGTTTTGGGATGAATCCCGGAGCAAGGCAGAGCAAGAGAGCACTGGCCACCTCCCCATCTGTTCTTCTCCCTCACTCCCACCCCATGGCAGTGCAGTCCAGAGTTCCACCCTGGCCAGGATGGGTCGATGTTGGGGGAGTCTCCCATCAGATGCGGTTGGACATGAGCCTGGTGTTCAGCTTGCGGAAGAAAGAGCGCAGCTTGCAGATCTTGCACTTCTTCTTCTTGTTCCTACTCTTCAGGGGCTCCCGGATGCCTTCCCACTCCTCCCCGTCATCCTCGCTGGCCCAAGGTCCCCAGGCACCGCCGTTGAAGTCCGGGTGAGCCCGGGGGTTCTCCGCAGGGTACCGCACCGGGATGGCCGTGCGGTTGTAGTGCACCAACCTCGTCAGGAGGGTCCTGACCACGTCCGGGCGCTGCTCTGAGAGGTCGTAGCGCTCGTAGGGGTCAGCAGTGATGTTGAAGAGCCACACGGACTTCCTCAGGCCGTCAGTGAGGCGCTCCAGGTTCCACCAGCTCCCTGGAAAGTTGGTCAGGGTCTGCGGGGGTATCCAGTCACTGTACCCAGGGTCACCAGTGAGGAGCTTCCACTCCCCGACCCGGATGGAGGCTTGCACGGCCGTGTTCCAGATGCCGAAGCCATCCTCCAAGGAGCCATACTTGGCGTGGTTGTACAAGGGGTCGATGTTGTGCAGGATTTCAGTGCGTGGCGACTCCTTGCCCTCACTGATGGCAGGCCAGACATCGTAGCCATCCAAGCCCGGCACATTGCTCAGGTTGCCCCTGGCCAGGCTGACCAGAGTCGGGTACCAGTCTGTGATGTGAACCAGTGCCCAGCTTGTCCGACGCTTGCGCTTGATCAGGGGACTGTGGACAAACCCGATGCCACGGACTCCCCCTTCCCAGTACGTCCCTTTGCGGCCCCGTAGTGGCCAGTTGCTTCCCCCGGAGAAGGTCTGCCCGCCGTTGTCAGTGGAGAACACGATCACGCTGTTGTCGTAATAACCGTACTTCTTGAGGGCCCAGGTGATGTTCTTCACCGCCTCGTCCATGCAGGTCACCATGGCAGCGTACTTGCGGCGAGCGACGTTGCCCATGGAGCGGTAGCGGTAGATGTACTCCTTGGGCGACTGCAGGGGCGTGTGGACCGCCTGGAAGGCCACGTAGATGAAGATGGGCTCCTTGGGGCTGTGGGATGCCAGGATCTTGCTGACCCGCTGGGCGTAGAGGAAGGTGGAGTACTTCCCGCTCTGGTCCCAAGCCACGTCCTCCCCTTCGTGCAGGTCGTAGCCGCAGACGCCCGGCCCGTCGCAGTTGTCGTAGGTGTAATAGTCCACGTTGCCTGTCAGGGACCCCAGGAAGGTGTCGAAGCCCCGGCGGGTGGGCAGGCACTCCTTCTTGTAGAAGCCAAGGTGCCACTTGCCCACCATGTGTGTGGAGTAGCCCGCTTCCTGCAGCTTCTGTGGCAGGGTGACCTGGTCGAGGGGCAGGCAGTTGGGCTGCCGAGGGCGGATGATGGAGTGCTGCAGCCCTGTGTGGATCTGGTACCTGCCGGGAAGAGCCAGGAGAAATCAGTGGTGATGGGCAGGCAGTGCTGGGTGGGGATGTGATGGCACTTTATGTACTGAAGACCCAAAATACATACAAATCTCTGGGTCACCCAACCCAGCCCCATGAAGCAAACTCCAGCCAGAGGCAGGGAGCTGCCAGCCTGGGGAGGTGGCCAGGCTGTGTCAGGGCTGGGCAGCACAAGCAAGTGGGTTTGCAGTGTCCCACATGGATACCCCCATCATCCCTGTCTTCCCCTGCTTTGCACACCTCAGAAATGCCTGGGACCCCTCAGGAGCCATCAGGAGAGAAGAGAGGCCTTTATCTGGACCACAGTGAGCTCCAGCGCCCCCAGGTAGCAGGTGATCACATCCATGGGCACCTCCCTGGGGCCCACTCCTTGTCAGGAGATGATCTGGTGGGATCTGCCTCCTGCTGTGAGTGCTGACTACCCAGCACTGCTCCAGAGAAAGCCCCACTTATCCTAGAAGCCCCAGGACAGAACTTGACTGTGCTGCTGCAGGAGAGAGTGATGGATCAGCATCCATCCTGCCCTGGCCAGTGCAGCACATGCAGGGAAAGCACAGACCAAGGGATTGAGAGATGCAGGGAAGAATGATCCTTTGACCCCACAGCAAATCCTCAAGGGCCAATGTGACAGCCACATGGGACTACCAGGTCACACAGCTCCTTGCCTGGCACCAAAGCACCTCATGGCCAGGGACCACCCTCTCCCAAAGTGACATCCATTACCCAACAGCATCCACATTTTTGGCCTTGCCATGTGCCGCTATGTGTCCTGTGTGAAAATCAGCTGTTCACCCAGGAAGCCTTCCAGAGAAATCCAGATCCACTGGAGGATCTCCACCATCTGCCAGCACACCAGCTCATCAGTCTAGCTGCAAGCTGGGGTTAAACCCCTCGGGGCTATGGAAGGGACCACCAAAGCGGGGACACGAGTGGGGCGTGAGCAGGCACTGCCTTACCTGCCAGTTATCAGCTGGCTCCGGGATGGGGTGCAGATGGGCTGGATGTAGTAGTTCTCCAGCTTCACACCCTCCGCTGCCAGCCTGTCCAGCGTCGGCGTCTGGATATCCGAGCCATGGTAGCCGACATCGTGGTAGCCCTGGTCATCAGTCAGGATGAAGATGATGTGGGGTGGCCTGGCAAAGGCAGGAGGCAGCGATTTCTCCATGGGGTCCGTGGCCACATCAGCCACCAAACCGGGCTTCATCCAGTCCCAGGATAAATAGCCAAAGCTGAGCAGGCTGACGAGCGAGAAGCCCGTGAGGGCATAGACAGCCATCCCGGAGCACACTGTGCTGCCTGCCGAGTTACTGTCCCAGCATCGCCTCAGAGTCACGGAAACGGGAGGTCCCCCCCTCCTCCAGAAGAGCCCCCCGACCTAGGGGATGGTCCCGGCAACCCCCACAGCTGGTTTTGCGGGAGCAGCTTCCATGAAGGCACACTCGCGTGCACACAAAGAGCTTAATCCGCCGGGGCTGGGTTGCCTTCAGTCAAAAGAAAATAACCCCCTCGCTGCTCCAATCAAACACATCTGCACGGCAGGACGGGCTCCTCGCAAGGACTGGCGGCGGCCCGGAGCCGCTCACCAGCGTCCCGAGCGCTGCAAACACTTCCTGGCTTCCTGGGGTTTTCTCCCTGCTGTTATTTCTTTATGAAGAGCTCCATTAAATCCTTGTCAGAGAAAGCCGCTGGCTTCCCCTCCGCTCCAGCCCTGCTCCTGCCCGGCTATCCGGACAGCTCACTCGGGACACGATGATTCTTTTCCTTAAACTCCTGCGGAAGAGAGTGCTAAAGTTCAAGCCCAGGGGTGCCGAGTTCTCCTCCTCACTCTCCGGGCAAGAGCCGCCCTCTCCTTTTCCCAACCTCCGCTCCAAGGCAGAGTCCCAACATCTGCCCGGGACGTGGTCTAAGCCGCCAGGTTTATGGGGAGCTGCCGGCTCGGCCCCTCCCAGCTCAGCAGCTCCAGGAAAAAAGCTGGGAAGCCCCAGAGCATGCAGGGTCCTAAGCGTGGCATTCCCTGAGCCACCGATGCTTCCCTCCCTGCTTGTCCCAAGACGTGAGACACACGGGTCAGGACCCCTGGTGGGATGCTCAGCCAAAGCCTCCGCGACACCTGGACTGGGAGGGCAGAGGGAAGGACCGGGTTTCTTGGAGGGATTGCTGGGGCCAGCTGCCCACGCTGACAAGATCACCATCTAAATAAATCCTCAACAGGGGGAAGCTCCAAAAACCTCTTTGAACACTCCCAGTGTTAATAAAACCACCTAGGTGCTTGCAGAGCACAACAGAGAGAGGTGGGTGCTGCTGCACCCATTTTCCAAGTGGGGAAACTGAGGCAGGGAGGAGCCATGGTCACAGCCAACCAGGGGCAAGGTTTGGTGGGCACCAGAGACTTCTGCCAATGCATGGGTACTGATCTGAGCTTAGGGTGCAGGGACAAGGGGTCAGTGCCCCGATGCTTTAGGGCAGCTTTTGGGAGAGATGAGCAATTCCCCTGTGCAGTTCCTTCCTCAGGGCCAGCATTCATCAGGCATCAGGAAGTTCCCACATCTGGAACCCATCTTAGCCCTTCGACTTTCCCCAGGGCAGGACTTGGCCCAAGAAGGGAGATTTTGGTGGCACAAACCCTCTCACCTTCACCCACCCTTGGTACAGCCAGAGCACAGCCCTGTGGCTGTTTGCACAGACCCGAGGGGTTACAGCAAACAGGAACTTCAGCCCTTCCCCAACAGCCCTTCAGCCCACACACCCACCCCACCTGCAGGACTGCAGGACGCGGGGCCATGGTGGGGTCTCACTGGGGTATTTGGGAGGAACTTCAGAACTGGCTCAGAAGAGCAGTTGAGACAGACAGTTCCAGGTCCCCTACATGTCCCCCTCCTGGATCCCCTCCTCCAAGTTCCCCCCAGGCTCTCCCTACACTCCCTGCCATTCCTCTGACCCTCCAGCCCCCTGTGCCCATTTTTCAGCCAGGGCTCAGGGGTTTGCAGGAGCACAGGGAGTGGTGCAGGAGACAAGATCAGGAGGCAGGATGGATAGTAGTTTTCTGTGCCTTTCCCTGCTGGCAGGAACCTCTGCTCAGTGCAGCAGGGCTGGGTTGAGCCCTTCAGTTAGGTTTGATTAATCCTCAGGGGTTTATCACTCATTTCTTCCACCCGTTTCTCTTCTCCCTTTCCCTCGCTCCTTCCCACCACTCGCTTCCCCCTTCTCCCCCAACATCTTTAGTTTTGAACAATACCCTCCTCTTGGAAAATCCTGGACCTGACTGAAGGTAAGTAGAGGTGGGAGACCCTCCACCTCCTGGGTCCTTGTGTGCTCCCATACACATGGCTCTGTGCCCACCCTGAACAGAGACAGAGTTATTGCCAGGGACTGTAATCAGAGCTTCTTCCAAATAATAAATAATAGTACATTTGGGTGAATATTACAGATGAAAGAGGAAATTGAAGATGTCAGGCCTGAGACATGGCAGAGAAAGTGTGTTTAAGGCAGCACAGATCGCTGATAAACTGTGTCTTGTTTGGGGCCCCAGGATGAGCAGGAGGGAGGTGCAGAGGGGGTAGCAGAAGGGATGTGCGGCCACAGGAGTGGAGCTGGAGCCCACCTATGAGGAGCAGGGCTGGAGCCACCCCTGAGGAGCATGAGCAGAGCCAAGCACCTCCTGGGTGTGTGGATTTGCTGCTCCAGGACCATCTGCAGCAGTGTGGTGGGTCGCATCCAGCTCACGCCCTTAGGATGAGGAGGCACAGGCTGGGAGAGTCATCCTGAGTTTAAGCTGCTGTCAATGGCCAAAGCTCAGAGGGTTGAAAGGAGGGCAGGAGGTGGCAGCAGGGACATGGGCCATGCTGGCACAGGGAGGGGACCTTCTGTGCCTGCCAGGGCAGCCAGCTCAGTGAAATCAGTGGTGGCTACAAGCTGGCCCTGGGTCTGGGAAAGAAACAGCAGGGTTAACTCAGCTCAGGGAGCTTTTCCAAGAGCTGAAGGGTGAATAAATTTATTGGAAGTGACCCTACCCTGGAGGTTCGGGGACACCTGGCTGGGTTCCAGCAGCACACAGACACCTTCTGGGTGCTCCTCCAAGAAATGATAAGAAGGTGAAAAGCAACAAGGGCTACAGGGAAGGCACTCTTGATCCCAGGAAATAGGGTGCCGTGGGACCCTCAAACCAGCCCCACTGAAATCATCTGACAGGAGGCAGGAGGAGGGAGTGGCTGGTAGTGAGGAGGAGGAGGAAGGAATGACAAGTCTGGAGTTTTGGGGTCAGTACGATTTAAGCTGTCTGCACAGCTGCTCTGAGGGTGATTAATGCATCACAAGGTCGAGGGATGGAAAAAGTGCTCAGGGCCTGAAGGCACCCCCCCAGCCGCTCTTAATTCAGGGCAGTCACTCGTCCAGCCTCGCTCAAAGATGTCTCAAGAGCCAGGAGCTTCCTTGGAGAGCTCCAGTATGTTGCACAACGGGGAGATTTCCCCTGGCAGCTGGCCCGGCCGTGGATCCTGAGCCAGCCAAGCAGACCCTGCCTGCTTTGGTCCTGCATCTGCCCTGGCAAGGACAGCCCTGCTCCTCCCTGTCGCACCAGCTGCTGTGACAAATGACACTGAATCTCCATCCCAGCCTGATCTGCAGTGCCATTACCAGTTCAAGGTGATGGGGAGCCCAATTGGGTGAACTGGGTCCTGGATATGGGGCTGGAAGCAGCTCTGTGGGCAGAGCATCACCCTCCCACACCACAGCCCAGCCCTTCCACATGCCTGCAGACCCTTCCCAGCTGCAGCCAAGCCCCCCCACCTCCAGAGGAATTGCTCACCATCCAGGGTAAAGCCACCAGACAAAGCCCAATATTCTCCCTTTTTTAAGCCCAGCAACACGACCTGAGAGGCAGCAAACCCTGAGCGGTGCCTGGACCAGGTCCCTCCATGTCCCCTGCAGCTGGCACAGCTCCTCGCATTTGCACAGCTGGTTCTCTGACCAAATATTTAATTATTACTGCTTCTTCTTCTTCTTCTTTTTTTTTTCTAATTATTAATTTTATGTGGCCTAGGGCAAGAATGAAAATAAACACAGCCCTTCCTGCTTTTTTCTGCCCACCGCCCCCCGGCTCCGGCCGCACTTGCATTCTGGCTCGGAAAGTGCTCGCTGCAAATGGGGTTATACAAACAGGCTCCACATATTTCTCCACGCCTGTGATGTGCCACGAGGGCCACACAGCAAAGTTTAAAACTAAGCTTCAAATCTCTTTTTTTTTTTTTTTTAAACTTCCCCCTCCTCCCCCCCCTTTTCTTTATTTTTTAACCCTTTCCAGGGCCGGAGCCCTTTCAGCCCTCAATACTGCCTTTCTCTTGCCATCAATGGGGCATTATGGCAGGGGATTTATTGGAAGCAGAACTCCCAGGCTTTACAATGGGAGCTCTGTGCAAGGCAAATATTGCACAATCTGTTTGCACGCTGCCGGCTCACTGCCCTTCCCCCTCGGCAGCCCCACTCACGCCTCGGCCTCCGGCCTGCTGAAACAGGACCTTAAAATTCAGAAAAATGAAAGGTTTTTAATAAGTCCCCTCTCTCCTGCTTCAGAGCAAGACATTTGACCTAACAGGGCATCGGGGAGCCTCGAAAAAACACCTCTTGTCGCTCTCGCCTCTCAGATGTTTAAGGGTTTCCGCTCTCCCCGGCCAACGTGTGATGCATTTACTCTTTTACTGGCATGATGAAAGAGCCTAGGCAAGTCTGGAAAAGAAGGGAGCAGTCCCAGGAATGGGGAAAGGTTGTTATTTTGTCTAGAAAGGGGGAAAAAGGCTGAGAGGAGGGGTTGGCCAGGTGATTTGCAGGGAAGGAAGGAGGCTGGAGGCATCGCCAGTCCCAAGCCCAGCAGAGAATGGGGTTGGAGGTGAACGCCTCTCCATTGACTTTGGGAGCCTTCAAGAGGTCCTGGCCATCATGCCTTTGGCCTGGGGATGGATTCATGGCCCTGTCCTGGATTTCTTTCTCCCTGTCAGAAACACTCTTTGCTCTCCCATGTCTTATCCTCTGGGGATATCCCCAATGACCATCTCCCCTCCCTGGCACATTGCAGGCAGGTAGCATTCCTGCTAGGCAGTTCCAGGACCTGCCTCCTCCCTACCAACCCCCCAAATCCTATTTTCCCAGTCCACGACCTCATTTTCCCTACCCAGAGCCCAGCAACTCTCTACCCCCTGCCACATGGCCCCTGTGGATAAAAATCAATTTTCTAGTGGCAACCACTGCGGCAAGACCTCGAACAGATTACAGGGATGGGGTTTG